GTTGGTTGGTTGGTTGATTGGTTGGTTGGTTGGTCAGCTGGGCGGCCGCATCCCCAGCATCCCAAGCATTTCCGGTTTCTTATCCCGGCTGCGTATGGGGGCATGACTTGATGCTCGGGATAGCCAGCCGCATCGCCAGCATTACTGGCCTCACTCGGACGAGAGCTGCCTATTGGCCGAGGCTAAATGAACCCCAAACAAACCCAAGACCCACCCGCATTAATATCTCAGCAAGCCCAACACTCACCCCAAACCAGCCCCGATCAACCCTGAACTGCCACCAAATCAAAGTAGGCAGCTCTCGTCCGAGTGAGGCCAGTAATGCTGGCGATGCGGCTGGCTATCCCGAGCATCAAGTCATGCCCCATACGCAGCCGGGACAAGCGGAAATGCTTGGGATGCTGGCGATGCGGCCACCAACCCCCAGCCCAACCTCTTTGGAGGGAGGCCTTGTGCCGAGCCGGGGCTAGTAAAAAGCCGGGGCTAGTAAAAAAAAAACAACACCTCAACCAGGGGCACTCTGGATGAAGTTAAACCCTGTCCCTTTTTAGTGGGAGGTTCATTGCTTTTGGGCCCTCCCCTATCAGTAGGACGGGTTTATGAATTCCGGGTCAACATTACGTGACCGGGGGATTTGCTGACGAAGCCTGTGGTCTTGATGGCCAAATTATGAGGCGCTGTGAAGGGAGGTGTGTGGCTGTTTGTTGGAACGTCCGGAACAAGCAGCTTGTGAAGAATGTGCGAGGAAGTATTCACTTCGGGATGTAGAGAGATGAGTTGCAAGGGGAATGAACAGATATAGGATTTGTTCTGCCCAATGAGCGGGACACCTTGCAATGCTTGCATGCTTCCAGTACCCTTTGTCGGATACACTTAACCGAGATCTTTTTTGATTGCAGGGCATAGAACGTGTTTCAATGATCAGAAGCGCGGGGTATGCACTTTGCTATCAGAACCCGTGCAGAATTACTTGATGATGACGGTCCCTATGAACTCAATCATGGTTAAACCACGGCAACTATGGCTCGGTGGTTCCCAGCTATCCCCTTAGGTCTTTAGGTTCTTGGAATTTGGTGGTTGGGTTTCCATTTAACCTGCTAAGAGTATTCACTTTTCGCAGGGAATCAGATAGGACAGCTCAGATTGTTGCAATCTTGGCAGTCAGCAGGCTGGAATTTCTCGAAACTGGAGCAGCGCCTCTCCCAAGATCTGCAAGAATGTCTTCCAGCCGTCAGATCCACAGACAGCGTCCCTTCGGTCTCAAATTTTTGCGGTCGACAAAAAAAATTCGACCCCGCGATGAGTCGATCCCAGATCAGCTAAGAAAATCCGTACAAGCTGGCGAAGCCCCCGACTGAATCCCAAACAAGCTCCAACCGCCCGCTTGCCGTGGGGGTCTAGCGCCTAAGAGCCACGGTCTTCCCCTGTTTCCCTTTTCCGGAAGGATGTGGGCTCAAAGGTGAATGGGGACTGGGTTGCTTTGCAGCGCCTTTCCTGCGGCTCCTTTGGAATCTCTCGGTTACTTGGCCTTCACCTTCCTGCCGGGGCAGCGTGTTGGGATCTTGCGGAAAGGATGCACGGATCTCGCCGAACTTTTCAATCGCGCCTTGCGGACGGACCTGAGCCGCGACCTGGCGCGACTCAAAGCCGCCGGCCTTGTGGCGACTGGCCGCAGGCAAGCGGATCATGTCGCTTATTTTGAACGTCGCCCTGCTTGACCAGGAGCCAATGAGCCACAATCAAAACCGGGTAGATTGGATTCCTTGGCATGCAAAAGCGGTGCCTTCGCCGCCTTTGGGAGATTCTGTACATGGTTAAAGCGGTCCCGAGCATGTTGAAGAACCGAATCGCTATTGATTCTGGCGCAAATGAAACAGCTCTGGTTCAAGAAGCAAATGCAGAGATCCCGCTACCGGCGGCCAAGATGGCACCGGGGCTCAGCGGCCTCAGAGACAAGACCTTGAACGCAAAAGACAGCTCATGGCCCGATGGCGTGTGGCTCGGTTTTTTTTGGGAGGGCACGGGGAACCCAAGCGTCATGTGAAGGGAAACCAAATGGGTCACTTGTTTGCTTGTCTTCTTGTGACGCCTAGTGCGCCCCTTGTGGTGAGGAACAAGGAAGCGGAATCTTGCCTGGCGGCATACCGCAGGATGCCCTCACAATCATGGAAGCTGACGATCAGGATTTGTGAAGACGGCATTCCTCCGCATGTGAAGCGTTTTGAGGAAAAACCCGCATGAGGTTCAGACTACGGTTACGGGAACTCACTCACTTTCCCGTGGGGAGCACCTAATCCTCCTTATTTTGCACAGAACGCTACTTCTTTTTTTGTTTTGGGGGGGGAGGACCCCTCTTTTCGGGTTCCAGTTAAGGGGAGCCGCCCGGACGCCTCGGCTCACCAGATGGCCATCTCCCCACGCTGGGCCTGCTGGCAAAGCTGGTGTTGGCCCCCCCCAACCCCAAACCCAACCTCTCCCAATCCACCGCAGGTTAGAAGCCTACCCCGACACCCCAAAAGAAGGAGGTTGCAAAACAGACACGCTCGGGGTCCATCCTCCCCCCCCCCCCCCGGCCCCCGCCCTCGCCAACACGCCAACCCCCCCCCACCCCGCGCGGGAAGATGCATTTGCCTTTTGGACCTCAGCTGGCTGCAGATGCACCGCTCAGGCTGGAGTTCGGGTTGCGTGTTGCTCGAGGTGGATGTTTTTAGGGTTGCACGTTTGTGTATATGATATGATATGGTATGCTATGATATGATATGATATGACATTGATGTTATGTATATATAAATAAATAAATAAATAGATATATATATATATACACACACGCTTATGTATAGACTGTGTTCTGTCCAGTTTCCCTTCACAAAGCGAGTTGAGTCCAATGGTTTCAGTCCAATTGTGTTCATGTTTGGTTTGTTTCTTGTCATTTACGATGGGAGTCTCCATCGTTCTTGAGTCGTCTCGAGGCCTTTTGAAGTCCAATGCCACTCAGGCGAAGCCTTTCCGGGTTTGGAGATGATTCTTGGAGTCCTTTTTTTTTGGGGGCGGGCCTGGGGACGGGTGGGGGGTCGAGGGAAGAACCTGCTGAATTTGGTGGTTTTTTTTTTGAGGGTGCATGGAATCTCCCCTCCGACAGGTAGTCAGTAGCATCTTGGAGGGACAGAGCGGCACCAGTGCTGGGTCACAAGTTTTGGGCGCCGTCCAATCTTCAACCAGATCCTTTGCCATATGGGTCTTTCTTTTTTGAGGGTCTGTTTTGTCGCGGCTTTAAAGGGACCCCAACGGGAAAACGGTTACCCCAAAAAAGACAGACCCATATCATTTTTGCGTTGGGTTGATCAAAAGGTTTGATATCTCAGCCACATGGGAAAAAAAGTGACCCATGGTCAGTTGGGGTCCGAACGGAATATTGATCAACCTCCACATAGAAAGTGTCCAGCCCAAAAACCTGAGGGATTCTCTAATTTTCCCACAGATCCCAGCCATCGGTTCCAAAAAGGTTTGGAGTTGTTTTAGTTGGTTTAGTGGTTGGGTTTCCTGATTTAACCACATCACAAGTATGAACAAGCAGATGATGCTCGTTTATGGACGAATCATTGACGCCGGAAATCCATGAAGCAGTCATGAAACCCCCGGAAATCCATGAACGAGCATCACTTACTTGACCAGGGGAGTGGAAACTTTGGCTCGGGGTGGAACTCCCCAAAGGAATGGGTGTGGGTTGGGTACGCGTCGCGATACAGTGGGGTCCCAGGTTGCTTTCTTCCCCTTGTCATTTTGGATTTGTGCATCTTTAAAGTCACATAGAAACCGTTGCGACGTCTGGAATGCCTGCACATGTTCTTCAAGCAACAGGTCTTGACAGAATGCTGGACTGTGCAATAAAACATGAAGCATTTTTAGTCATGGCCATGGCCCCAAAAGGTTAACCTTGTATTTGTGAGTCTCTAAGGGTGAGTCATGTTGGGGTACACCGGATCAACCCCAGTCCCCACATAGACCACCTTGTAGATTAGGGGAGTTCCCCAGAAGCGACCCGGATCCCTTCTAAAATGGGACACCCGTTCGTGAATCAACTTGGGTTCCCACCCTCAAAACCTAGGTGGACATACACCAAAACGTTGATCGGGGCTAAGGGGGGGGGTTTCTACTCAGTTGTTCAGGTGGAGGGTCAAAACTTGGCATCCCAACAAGGCGCGGAGTCCTTTTGGCGCATATTTGTGACACCCCCCAACAAGCTACTGGCCCGTGGATGTATCAACGTATCCACTTGAATTTTAGCAGGACGCGCACCAATTTGGACGTTGTTTGTTCGCTGCTGGGGATGTTCAAGTCCTTGCCACCAAAAAATGAGAAAAAAAACAACACGTCGCATTTGGGACAAAGCAGAGGTTTATTTAGGGGGGTGGAACAAGATGGCCCCCAACCGGGCCACAGCTGCTCATGGGCCATTGGGTTTGTCTTCAAAGCAGGGGTACCCCAAAACCGGTGATTTGGGCGTCCCTTTGAAAGGGCAAAAAGGGCGCCGAGCCTCAAACGCTGACGCGCCCATGTTCCGTTCAGGTGGCCCCCGTGAACTTTGAGGAGCAGCTCTTCGGCGACCGGATCCAGGCCGCGGAGTTGACGCGTTCGCGGTGCCCGGGTCAGAGTGGGGTGGCTCTTTGGTGGTTTGGGTTGTCTCAAGATAGGGTTGGGATCCTCGAAAGGCTTGGTTTCCCCTGGTTTCACTGTAAACAATACCCTCAAAAACAAATGGAGACCGGTTTGGATTGGTTGTTGGGCTTGAACCAACGATTTCCAGCGAGGCATCGCTAGGACGATGCCTCGGCACTTTTTTCCTCGGATGTTGAGGCTTTGGACTGAACTAAACACAAGCTGACCCGATAACCAAAAGGGCCAGAAAATCGGCCATGGTTTCTGTTAGTTTCTTTTTTGGCCACGTTTCTACCCTCCCATGGGATCGGCCGGCGTTTTGCTCGGCAGATCCTTCTTGCGGGATGCGCCCCCCTCTGCGAGACGGACATCCATCTTGGAGGCGCTCTGTCCCACCAGCTTCCTGACAATCCATGAAAATGGGGTGTGAAACTGGAGATATGGACCCCAGATGTGGTCAAGGTGAAACGGAGGACCCCAGGCTTTCGGCCTCGAATTCAGCGCGTCAGGGGGAAGAGGTGCCAGATCGCCATCGAGGCCCACTTCCTGGCGGAGCGCATGAGCGCAGCTGGCACTTCTTGGGCCCCGGTTTTCGTAGATAGGTTGGCTGATGTGTCGATTCCTGCCTCGGACCTGCTCAGGCCTTTGGCGGCGCCTTGCTGCCCAGCGCAGGCGGGGCAACCGAAGAAATGACAGGGCGCGAGGGTTGAAGAACTAATCCCGAAAAGGAGCAAACGGGGGGGGGGGGCGTCTCGGGTGGGGCCGCATTGGGGGCTCCTAAATTGGTGAGCCCGCTGGTTGGACATGGGATTCCATGCAGTTCGTTGGCCACAACCGTTCACGCGCCTGAGGCTCCAGCCAGAACCGTGTTACCGCAAGTGTATCCGTAACCTTGTACAGCATGGCAGAGGTGACGATGTTCGCGACTCTGCCCGTGGCCTTTTTTGTGGCAAAGTGGTTAATCTCGTGGTGGGCGATGGCAAGCAATTCATGGTGGCTCGCGAAGGGGCTGGCTGATGATGATGGCATTGACGTGCTATATGCTGGGCCACTGACTGTGCTCGTTATGGGGCTTTTCATGACCAACCTTCAGGGCTTCCTGGCTTGGTTGACCTTTCCATGCGTTTTTGTCTGAAAACCACCAAAATGGCCAGTCTCCTTTCAGTTTCACTTTGTAAAGCCAGCCCAAAAGGATGGCCCTCAAAAACACACACCCTGGTCGGCCTTTCTGCATTTTTGCTTTTCCAAAGTTTTGAGAAACGCGAGCGTGATATTTTTCTTCGAGTGGAGTTTGGGCGTTTACTTGGAAGGCACTGTGCTGCTTTCTGCTTTGGTTCGGCTCCAGGCTACTTCGAGGAGAAGCGCAAAGAGCCGGACCTGGCCCGAGCGGCCGCGGTGGACATGGACCTCCCATTTCTGCTGTGGCAACAGGGCAGAGAGATTTGCTCAGAGAAGCCGCCCCAGGCCTGGCGCCGGCTGAAGGTCCGACAAGCCCTTGGCAGAGGCATTCCGATGCTCTTTGGCAGAGGATTCAGCTCCAGATTCGGTGTGTTGTGTTTGTGTTTTTAGATCAGGCTTTGCATTGTTGTTTTTTCCTTCCCCTATTTTGCAGCATGAAGTCCGATCAAGGTCCATGGTGAGTTTCTATTTGGCCAGCCGCCATGTGGTGGAGGCGCCGCCAGCTTTCCACGACAGTGGGCCGGCCACTCCTGACGGAAGACACAGAGCTGTGGAAGCTCTTGAACAGCGAGAAGGAGATTTGCAGTGTGCCCCTGTCTTTTGGCGTCAGTCTTGGCTGCAGGACAAGGAAGGACCTTGATCAAGACTACCTGATGACAATTCTTCGGAATGGACAGTCTTCAACCAACACTTTCACAACATCCTCAGAGACACTGCGTGAGGCCAATGAGGCAGTCTGGAAGGCCGCGCATTGTGAGTCGTCAACGTGGCAAGCAGTGCAGACTGATCACAGTTTCTGCGGCTACGAATTCTGTCTGGAGTCAAACCCTCCGGAAGGGCCAATGAAGGCCTTGAATTTGCTCCTTACCAGAGATGGCGAACAGTTTAAGATCTTTGCTGGTGTGCTTCGTATTTTTGTTTGCTCTTGAGCTGACAACTTTGTTTCTTGTATTCGACATGTTTTCTCGAAGGTTCATGCAATCGGCCATCGTCGAGAAGTTCAAGACAAATAAAGAGGCACAGTCAAGTATGCGGCAATCGTTGGCCAAGCGGAATAAGAAGATATGGCAAAAGATCAGGTCCACATTGATCCCCACGGATTTTTTCACGCGCCTCTTCAGCAGCACCTTGAATGATGACCAATTCGGCAAAGTCGTTGCGGTGGCGACATGGAGGTTTTGGAAACACGAGTTTGCGCTCGGCTTGATCTTCCTGATATCCTCCGTGGCTCCCTTGGTAACATGGGTGGCGGAGCGACGAGGCCTCGAAAAATGGCAAAAACCCCAAATCTGGGCGCACTGCGCCATCGACGTCATGCTAGTCGAGTTGGCCGCCATCTTTTTGTTGGCCTGGAGATTCCTTGGCGCCTTTGGTTTCCAGATCTCGGAGCATATCGATGGCATGATCACGGAGTTCACCAGATCACTCGCCTCCCTGGACGGGCCGCAACAAGAACTGCTCGAACACGCCTTGGATAACTTGGCGAGCGACTTTCACTGGAGGGCGGCAAAAATTTGGAAAGACTGGGCAGACCGGCAACTACTCGCGATGATGAACAGCTTGAAAGAACCGCTTGAGGTCGGCCTCATGTCATTCCTTCCATTCTTCTTGGCCGCTCTCTTGTTCTTCTGCACATCAACGATCTTTGTGGCCAAATGCAAGAGGACCACGGAGCTGCCCTGGATGACCCGCTGGAATGCGGCGATTGGGGGTCCCCTGTTCCTCTTGGGTGCCGCGCGCAGCAGCGAGGTGCAGCAGCAGTGCCACGGCATCATGCTCCAGATCCTCTTCCGGGGTTTGCTGCTGAGCATTCTTCTGGCGGCCTTCCTGGCGCCGGTGGACGACTTTGACACTGGCATCGTCACCGCCTTGTTGCTGAATCGGGAGATGACGCGTGTGCCATTCGTCATCTCCTGGTTCGGCCTCTGGGCGTTGCACATCATGACTGGGGTGATGGCAGTCAAGGAGATCAAGTCGCTCCAAACCCCAAGAGATAAGAAGCGCCTCACGCGGGACATCGACCGACAAATCTACGGCACTTTCACGCCAGCAGCACGAGCCGAAGAAGGCCATGGGGCTGAGGCCGCCGCAAATCCAGCTGTAGGCCAGCCGGGTGTCGACCATTTGCCTGGCAAAGGCCAGTCACCAGGGCCTTTGAAATCTCAGACCTTTGGTGAGAGGTAAAGTTGCAACACCTGGGAAGTCAGGCGACCAAAAAGGCTGGGAGCGCTTTTCAACACAACTTCTCGCCTTGCATGGGTACCCCCAAGCATACCGGGGCCAGCAGGTCGCGTTGCTCCATCCCCACTTCCGAGGTGCGTTGAAAAGGACCGACCCTATGGACCCGGCAGGCTTCATCCTCTTTTTCCAGATGTGCCAATGGCGGCAGGCTGGCAGTGGAAGGATAGAGTTTGCCGACTCAGCGTAGAGTTCCCTGGAGACCTTTTTCTTCAGAGAAGCAGATGGATCCTGACAGAGCTTGATGGGTGCCTCTTCACGTGCAAACTCGTCTCCACCTTCCTATGCGTCTCATTTAAATATCTCCGCCAAAAGGAGTCTTTGAGCGACGCACAAAAGGAACGTGCAATGACCCCTGTTTGAAGGTTGACTTGGATTGTGGCTCAATCCCCCATTTTTCCCATAGAGTTTCAGCACACTCAGAGGGGTCACTTCACTTTGGGACGGTTCATGGAGCACTCCACGGTTGTTCAGTTCTCGGAAGCGGGGGGGGGTCGTTCTCTCTGCAACAATCACATTGAACCTCAAACACCTCCAGTTGTCGACGCCACACTTTTTTACTGTTAGATTAATTGTTTGCCGGGGATGAACGAAGCATTCAGTTTGGTTTTTCGATGTAATCCAGGACCGACATGCTGTTTCAACTTCTACTCCGTGGCACTCGTTGCTTGATCCTGGTTCAGGCACCTTGACTGTCCGCTGTGCAAACATCATCCCACCAAAGGAAGCTCATGTTCTCATTGGACATTGTGTCAGAATCGGGGGACCCCCAAAATGGGTGGCTTTCCTCGAGGTTGCCCCAAACATCCAGGTGAACCACCTGCCCTCAAAAACCACAAGCCCATGCAAGGACCGCCGCAGTTTGGGCAAAGCGCTCGTCCAGCTTGTGTACAGGATCAGGTCCGAGCTTTCGACCCTTCCATGGCTGCGCCAACCAGCGGCACGCCCTGCGGCCCAGTCCGGTGGAAGCGAACGGCCTCATCTTTTCGGCTCGGGACTCTTTGTTTGGTTGGTCAACGAGAACCCAAAAAAGGAGCATCTTCATTTGTTGGGTCCCCCTAGGTTGACACATTCCAATCTGGCACCCTTCTATCCACCACCTCCCTCCAATCGAGGAGCATGAGAGGTCTCTTCGGACCATTTCCCTCAAGGGACCTGGTGGAACCCTGCACAGGGTTTGCACCTTGGCAGGTGAATTTGCAATTATTTTGCAAATTGGTTTTCCAGTACAGACTAAAGGTCGTTCTGCGCAAGGGGCACTGGAACACCGGACCGCAACTAGCTTGGGAAAGCTAGAGGAAGCGGACAAAGCGGGCTTTCCAAACCCTGCCAGGGGCAAGGAGAGAATTCCCAGGCTTGCCCGACAAAGCCAGGAAGACAGTTCTGTGCTCTAGAATTCTAACTTGACTTGCTTGCAATGGACTTAAGCGCAACCTGACGTGGTCACCATTTCCACTTTGAGGGACTTTTCACTAGTCGATCCACGGGTAAGACGAGTTTTGTTTGACGAAGGTTCTTTTCCTTTGGCACTTATTGAGCGATGATGACTTGCCGAACTTATTGAGCAATGATGACTTGGTGGTTACCAGCCATTCCAGTAGGTTTTTAGGTTGTTTTAGAGTTTCATGGAGGTTTCCAGTTAACCAACTAAAAGTCAAACCTTTAGCACAGCATTTGAGGACAGCCCAGAGCATTGTCTACTGTCACCATATTGCGGTTGATTGGCTAGATGTTGCAAGTACGGCGCAAGACCAGTTGTATTGCGGTTGAACGATGTGCAACATAGGGAACCTGCGGTGCCTGTCTATCTCTGAATTGTGTGCATGTGCTTGTGTTTGGGCCCACAAGGCAGGTCTTTACCTACTCGATGTGCAGCCGTTCTGCTTGATCAAACAGTATGTGGCTCATCGTTGTTGCCTGTGCATGCCCCTTAAGCCATGCAAACCAAATTCTCATCGTTTGGAAAAAAATAGCGGCTTAGCCTTTGTGTGCTGGATTCTTCGGTCACAACAAAGGTCTTTTTCAGGCGGTCAGTGGGGTGTCGTCCAAAAACAAGCCACGCAGGACGAGCGATACGGTGTAAGCATTGGTCCACGCTCAATCAACTGCGCGCCGGCCCCAGCCTTGCGCTTCGCATGAGCCACATGTTCCACATATTCCACATGTCCGAGGTCGGGTACCCAGCTGTCCAAGCTGTTAAGCTTCAAGCTGACCTTTGGGGGCACCTAATGGTTGGATGAGCTTGATCAATTGCAACCTTCCCTTCACTGTTGTTAGCATGCATTTAGGTTTTCAGTTCTTTTTGGTTCTGTTCATTTTAGTGGGGGGCTGCAAACACAACGTTTGTTGCGGCCATACCAAGTGTTGTAAAGTTCCTAGTTGTGATTTGTTTGCCAAGCTTTTCCTTTGAGCATGCGCCGTTCCTCACCCACAAGCCAATCCACCCCTCCCAAGCTTGAAACCTAAGCTCAAATGCGGTGGAGAGTGCTCGGCCCCCTGACTGTTGCTTGAGCGTGGTTCCCACGCTCGAGAAGACCGTACAGAGACCTGCAACACCCTGCAACACACCACAAATTAAACACACGGTCAGAATCGGGCTGGGGAATACTTGCTTACCCTTTCCCACCTTTCTGGGCTCTAGACCCACCCTAGCTCCCTCTACTGAACTCGAAAGCGACCCTAAACATCCCTGACCCCAACCTAAGACCTACACAACGGGGATCTCTCGAAGCCGCTGACCTTTTCAGGTAACATTTGGCGGTTTGGATTGGTTGTTCGCAGGGAAGCGGATGAACGACGATCCAAAGGGTAGATGGTTTGGTTGCCCTTGCTTTCCCTTTTCCCACCCTGTCTATTGTACAAATCGAGTGGAGGGTTGACCCTGCTTGCACGGGATCCTCTTGCGAGTAGATTTTTTGCATGCGGCTGATGAGAGACAGGGCCACTTCCTCAGAAAAGGTCCGTTCCAGGCCGCCGTGGAGCTGACGAGCCGAATCGGAGGCAAGAGCTCTGGCCGGATTTTATGAGGCCGGGTGTCTGGGTGGTCTGCCTGACAAATACAGGGACACACCAGCTTTCACGCACCCGGCAGGCTTCATCCTCTTTTTCCAGATGTGCAAATGGTGGCAGCGCAGGCTGTGGAAGTTTCCGACTCAGCGTAGAGTTCCCTGGAGACCTTTTTGTGCAGAGAAGCACGTGAATCCTGACAGAGCTTGACGGGTGCTGTTTTACGTACAAACTCGTTTCTACCTTCCTATGCGTCTCATTTCAATATATCCGCCAAAAGGAGTCACTTTCCAAGGGCGAACTGATGTCTCGCAACGAATGCGTGGTGACACTCATGTGTGCAAGACAGTTCTGTGCTCTAGAATTCTAAATTGACTTGCTTGCAATGGACTTAAGCGCAACCTGACGTGGTCACCATTTCCACTTTGAGGGACTTTTCACTAGTCGATCCACGGGTAAGACGAGTTTTGTTTGACGAAGGTTCTTTTCCTTTGACACTTATTGAGCGATGATGACTTGCCTTTGGAACTTATTGAGCAATGATGACTTGGTGGTTACCAGCCATTCCAGTAGGTTTTTAGGTTGTTTTAGAGTTTCATGGAGGTTTCCAGTTAACCAACTAAAAGTCAAACCTTTAGCACAGCATTTGAGGACAGCCCAGAGCATTGTCTACTGTCACCATATTGCGGTTGATTGGCTAGATGTTGCAAGTACGGCGCAAGACCAGTTGTATTGCGGTTGAACGATGTGCAACATAGGGAACCTGCGGTGCCTGTCTATCTCTGAATTGTGTGCATGTGCTTGTGTTTGGGCCCACAAGGCAGGTCTTTACCTACTCGATGTGCAGCCGTTCTGCTTGATCAAACAGTATGTGGCTCATGGTTGTTGCCTGTGCATGCCCCTTAAGCCATGCAAACCAAATTCTCATCGTTTGGAAAAAAATAGCGGCTTAGCCTTTGTGTGCTGGATTCTTCGGTCACAACAAAGGTCTTTTTCAGGCGGTCAGTGGGGTGTCGTCCAAAAACAAGCCACGCAGGACGAGCGATACGGTGTAAGCATTGGTCCACGCCCAATCAACTGCGCGCCGGCCCCAGCCTTGCGCTTCGCATGAGCCACATGTTCCACGTATTCCACATGTCCGAGGTCGGGTACCCAGCTGTCCAAGCTGTTAAGCTTCAAGCTGACCTTTGGGGGCACCTAATGGTTGGATGAGCTTGATCAATTGCAACTGTTGTTAGCATGCATTTAGGTTTTCAGTTCTTTTTGGTTCTGTTCATTTTAGTGGGGGGCTGCAAAGACAACGTTTGTTGCGGCCATACCAAGTGTTGTAAAGTTCCTAGTTGTGATTTGTTTGCCAAGCTTTTCCTTTGAGCATGCGCCGTTCCTCACCCACAAGCCAATCCACCCCTCCCAAGCTTGAAACCTAAGCTCAAATGCGGTGGAGAGTGCTCGGCCCCCTGACTGTTGCTTGAGCGTGGTTCCCACGCTCGAGAAGACCGTACAGAGACCTGCAACACCCTGCAACACACCGCAAATTAAACACACGGTCAGAATCGGGCTGGGGAATACTTGCTTACCCTTTCCCACCTTTCTGGGCTCTAGACCCACCCTAGCTCCCTCTACTGAACTCGAAACCGACCCTAAACATCCCTGACCCCAACCTAAGACCTACACAACGGGGATCTCTCGAAGCCGCTGACCTTTTCAGGTAACATTTGGCGGTTTGGATTGGTTGTTCGCAGGGAAGCGGATGAACGACGATCCAAAGGGTAGATGGTTTGGTTGCCCTTGCTTTCCCTTTTCCCACCCTGTCTATTGTACAAATCGAGTGGAGGGTTGACCCTGCTTGCACGGGATCCTCTTGCGAGTAGATTTTTTGCATGCGGCTGATGAGAGACAGGGCCACTTCCTCAGAAAAGGTCCGTTCCAGGCCGCCGTGGAGCTGACGAGCCGAATCGGAGGCAAGAGCTCTGGCCGGATTTTATGAGGCCGGGTGTCTGGGTGGTCTGCCTGACGTGGCGGGGCTTTACCAGTTTGTAAAACCTGATAGGAAATGAAGCTGGCCACGTACTTCGGATTCGCGCAGTGTGTAGGGACTGTCACATATCGGTTTGTCATCTTTTGGGACCCCCCCGCATGGTGGTTTCCTCTTGGTTTCCCTTCAAAGCCGCAGAAGCAAGGGGTATCCCAAAAAGACCAGCTGCCCATATTGGGGGAGGTCTTTTGGTGAGAAGGACAGCCATCCGGTTCCAAAAAGGTTTGGAGTTGTTCTTAGTTGGTTTAGCGGTTGGGTTTCCGGATGCAACCCACATCGCAAGTTCAGAACCTTTAGCAGGGGATCAGTTTGCGCAGCCCAAGCATCATTTGCAGCACCTTTTGTCCATCCACTTACCACGCACCCCTGTCAGATGAGCCAGGGGTTAGTTTGGCTCGGCGATTCCTGTTACTAGAGAAGATTCAGGAAATCTATGAACGAGCATCATTTACTTGACCAGGAAAATGGACACCTAGGCTCTCGGGGTGGAACTCCCCAAAGGAAAATCGGTGTGGGTTGGGTACCACGCGTAGGATATCTAAGTGGGCGCCCAGGTTGCCTTTTTCCCCTCATTGTCATTTTGGTTTTGTGCGGCTTTCAAGTCACATCAAAACCGTTGTCTCGTTTGGAATGCATGTATCACATGTTCTTCAGGCAACGGTTTTAACAAGCTGCTGGCTGTGCAGTAAAACATGAAGCTCACTTGCCCAAAGCCGACATTTGATGGTTTCCCCCCTTTTGGTCCATTTTTGGTCACGGCCCCAGAAGGCTAACCTTTTATTGGTGAGTCTCTAAGGGTGAGTGGGATGCACACCGGAACCCCAGTCCCCACATAGACCTGGTGGATTAGGGCAGTCCCAAAGAAGCGACCAGGATCCCTTCTAAAATGGGACGTCCGTGAATCAACTTGGGTTCCCACCCTCGAACCTGGACATCAGATAGGACGCCAAAATGTTGATCGGGGGTGGTGGGGGGGGGGGTTCTACTCAGTTGTCAAATTCGGTATCCTCCTTTTAGAGCATATTTGTGCACCCCCCCCCCCCCCTCCCCCACAAACAAATTACTGGCCCGTGGATATCAACATATCCACTTTAATTTTATCAGGACGATTTGGACGTTGTTTGTTCGCTGCTGGGGATGTTCAAGTCTTTGCCACCAAAAAATGAGAAAAAAAAACAACACGTCGCATTTGGGACAAAGCAGAGGTTTATTTAGGGGGGTGGAACAAGATGGCCCCCAACCGGGCCACAGCTGCTCATGGGCCATTGGGTTTGTCTTCAAAGCAGGGGTACCCCAAAACCGGTGATTTGGGCGTCCCTTTGAAAGGGCAAAAAGGGCGCCGAGCCTCAAACGCTGACGCGCCCATGTTCCGTTCAGGTGCCCCCCGTGAACTTTGAGGAGCAGCTCTTCGGCGACCGGATCCAGGCCGCGGAGTTGACGCGTTCGCGGTGCCCGGGTCAGAGTGGGGTGGCTCTTTGGTGGTTTGGGTGGTCTGAAAATGGGGTTGGGATCCTCGAAAGGCTTGGTTTCCCCTGGTTTCACTCTAAACTTAAACAATACCCTGAGAAAGAAATCGAGACCGGTTTGGATTGGAACGATTTCCAGCGAGGCATCGGCAGGACGATGCCTCGGCACTTTTTTCCTCGGATGTTGCGGCTTTGGACTGAACTAAACACAAGCTGACCCGATAACCAAAAGGGCCAGAAAATCGGCCATGGTTTCTGTTAGTTTCTTTTTTGGCCACGTTTCTACCCTCCCATGGGATCGGCCGGCGTTTTGCTCGGCAGATCCTTCTTGCGGGCTGCGCCCCCCTCTGCGAGACGGACATCCATCTTGGAGGCGCTCTGTCCCACCAGCTTCCTGACAATCCATGAAAATGGGGTGTGAAACTGGAGATATGGACCCCAGATGTGGTCAAGGTGAAACGGAGGACCCCAGGCTTTCGGCCTCGAATTCAGCGCGTCAGGGGGACGCGAGGTAGAAGTGCCAGATCGCCATCGAGGCCCACGGCCCGGCGGAGCGCATGAGCGCAGCTGGCCCTTCTTGGGCCCCGGTTTTCGTAGATAGGTTGGCTGATGTGTCGATTCCTGCCTCGCACGGAAAGCGACCTCAGGCCTTTGGCGGCGCCTTGCTGCCCAGCGCAGGCGGGGCAGCCGAAGAAATGACAGGGCGCGAGGGTTGAAGGACTAATCCCGAAAAGGAGCAAACGAATTGAGCCCGCTGGTTGGACATGGGATTCCATGCAGTTCGTTGGCCACAACCGTTCACGCGCCTGAGGCTCCAGCCAGAACCGTGTTACCGCAAGTGTATCCGTAACCTTGTACAGCATGGCAGAGGTGACGATGTTCGCGACTCTGCCCGTGGCCTTTTTTGTGGCAAAGTGGTTAATCTCGTGGTGGTCGATGGCAAGCAATTCATGGCAGGTCGCGAAGGGGCTGGCTGATGGTGATGCATTGACGTGGCGTATGCCGGGCCACTGGCTGTGCTCGTTATGGGGCTTTTCATGACCAACCTTCAGGGCTTCCCGGCTTGGTTGACCTTTCCACGCGTTTTTGTCTGAAAACCACCAAAATGGCCAGTCTCCTTTCAGTTTCACTTTGTAAAGCCAGCCCAAAAGGACGGCCCTCAAAAACGTGTTTTGCTTTTCCAAAGTTTTGCTGCTGCCTGGGTTTGGCTCCAGGCTACTTCCAGGAGAAGCGCGAAGAGCCGGACCTGGCCCGAGCGGCCATGGTGGACATGGACCTGCCCTTCTTGCTGTGGCAACAGGGCAGAGAGATTTGCTCAGAGAAGCCGCCCCAGGCCTGGCGCCGGCTGAAGCTCCGACAAGCCCTTGGCAGAGGCATTCCGATGCTCTTTGGTAGAGGATTTAGCTCCAGATTCGGTGTGTTGTGCTTGTGCTCCTACATCAGGTTTTGCATTGTTGTTTTTCCTTCCCCTATTTTGCAGCATGAAGTCCAATCAAGGTCCATGGTGAGTTTTTTCCTAGCCAGCCGCCACGTGGTGGAAGCGCCCATGTGCCAACTTTCTACGACATTCAGCAGACCACTCTTGCAGAAGGCTTTTGGCCAGAATGGGACGGAGCTGGAGGAGCTCTTGACAAGCCAAGAGGAGATTTGCAGTGTGCCCCTGCCTTTTGGCTTAGGCTGCAAGTCAAGGCAGGAGCTTGATCAAGACCGCCTGGTGGCAAGCCTTCAGAACGGAACCAATTCAATATTGCCCCGCGAATTCTCCCAGCCAATGCGCCAGGCCAATGAGGCAGTCTGGAAGGCCGCGCATTGTGACTTGTCAATGTGGCGAGCACTGCCGACTGAGGATGACAGTTTCTGCGGCTACGAATTCTGTGTGGAGTCAAACCCTCCAGAAGGGCCAATGAAAGCCTTGAATCGGCTCCTTACCAGAGATGGCGAACAGTTTAAGATCTTTGCTGGTGTGCTTCTCATTTTGTTTGCTCTTGTGCTGACAACTTTGGCTCTTTGTTCGATCTGTTTCTCCAAGGTTCGTGAACCTGGCCCTAACAGAGAAGCTCACGAGGAATGATCAGGCAGAGAGAGATGTGAAGCGTTTTTTGGCCCAGCAGAGTAACAATGCATTGACACAACTCTCAACCATTGCGATTCCCTGGAATGCAATTGTGAACAGCTTTTGGCTGCGTACTGGGGAAGGCAACGGCGTTGTTGTGTTGGCATGGAGGGCTTGGGGCTATGAGTTTGCGCTCGGCTTCATGTTCCTCATTTCATCCATGATGCCGTTGGCATCATGCGTGGTAGCGCAACGCGGCCTAAAAGAATGGCGCCAAAAAGCCCCAATCTGGGCGCACTATGCCATTGACGTTGTGCTGGTCGAGCTGGCCGCCATCGTGTTGCTGACCTGGAGATTCCTCGACCTCCTTGGTCCCAAGATCGCGGAAGATATCGATGTCTTGATCGAGGGGTTCCTCAAGAATTTGTCCCACGCCAAGGTGGTCCCCGAACCCGACGTCAGCCTTGTTGACGCCTACGACAAAATGCGACAGGCAGTGCACATTGCTGCACAATTGTCACAAGAACAAGAGGCCTTGGCAAGCGAGCGAGTGATCGAGACGATGATCAGCTTGGCAGAGCCACTCAAGGTCAACCTTATGAGCATTCTTCCATTCTGTGGAGCCGCTCTCTTATTCTGCTGCACATCAACAGTCTTTGTGGCCAAATGCAAGAGCACCACAGAGCTGCCCTGGATGACCCGCTGGAATGCGGCGATTGGGGGTCCCCTGTTCCTCTTGGGTGCCGTGTCCGGCAGCGAGGTGCAGCAGCAGTGCAACGGCATCATGCTCCAGATCCTCTTCCGGGGTTTGCTGCTGAGCATTCTTCTGGCGGCCTTCCTGGCGCCGGTGGACGACTTTGACACTGCCAGCGTCACCGCCTTGTTGCTGAATCGGGAGATGACGCGTGTGCCATTCGTCGTCTCCTGGTTCGGCCTCTGGGCGTTGCACATCATCACTGGGGTGATGGCAGTCCAGGAGATCAAGTCGCGCCGAAGCCAAAAGGATGAGAAGCGCCTCGTGCGGGACATCGACAGACAGCTGTACGGCACTTTCTCGCCTGCAGCACGAGCCGAAGAAGGCCATGGGGCTGAGGCCGCCGCAAATCCAGCTGTAGGCCAGTCGGGTGTCGACCATTTGCCTGGCAAAGGCCAGTCACCAGGGCCTTTGAAATCTCAGACCTTTGGTGAGAGGTAAAGTCGCATCAACACCTGTGAAGTCAGGCGACAAAAGGCGGGCAGTGCTTTTCAACACAACTTCTCGCCTTGCATGAGAAGCCCCAAGCAACCTACCGGGGCCAGATTGGTTTGGTTTACTTATTTGCTCGAAGAATCAGCAGGTCGCGTTGCTCCATCCCCACTTCCGAGGCAGTGCGTTGAAAGGGTCCTGTGTGACAGGGACACACCAGCTTTCACGCACCCGGCAGGCTTCATCCTCTTTTTCCAGATGTGCAAATGGTGGCAGCGCAGGCTGTGTAAGTTTCCGACTCAGCGTAGAGTTCCCTGGAGACCTTTTTGTGCAGAGAAGCACGTGAATCCTGACAGAGCTTGACGGGTGCTGTTTTACGTACAAACTCGTTTCTACCTTCCTATGCGTCTCATTTCAATATATCCGCCAAAAGGAGTCACTTTCCAAGGGCGAAGTGATGTCTGAGCGACGCACAAAAGGAACATGCAATGACCCCTGTTTGAAGGTTGACTTGGATTGTGGCTCATTCCCTGTTTTTTCAATATAGTTTCAGCACACTCAGAGGGGTCACTTCATTATTTGGGACAGTTCATGGGCCACTCCACGGTTGTTCAGTTCTCGGAAGAGGGGGCGGGTCGTTCTGTCTGCAACAATCACATTGAGCCTCGAACACCTCCAGTTGTCGACGCCAGACTTTTTGACTGTTAGATTGTTCAGTTTGCCGGGGATGAATGAAGCATTCAGTTTGGTTTCTGGATGGAATCAATTCTACTCCGTGGCACTCGTTGCTTGATCCTGGTTCGGCACCTTGACTGTCCGCTGTGCAAACATCATCCCACCAAAGGAAGCTCATGTTCAAGACAAATGTTTCATTGGACATTGTGTCAGAATCGGGGGACCCCCAAAATGGGTGGCTTTCCTCGAGGTTGCCCCAAACATCCAGGTGAACCACCTACCCTCAAAAACCACAAGCCCATGTAAGGACCGCCGCAGTTTGGGCAAAGCTCTCGTTACAGGATCAGATCCGAGCTTTCGACCCTTCCACGGCTGCGCCAACCAGCCGCGCGCCCTGCGGCCCAGTCCGGTGGAAGCGAACGGCCTCATCTTTTCGGCTCGGGACTCTTTGTTTGGTTGGTCAACGAGAACCCAAGAAGGAGCATCTTCATTTGTTGGGTCCCCCTAGGTTGACACATTCCAATCTGGCACCCTTCTATCCACCACCTCCCTCCAATCGAGGAGCATGAGAGGTCTCTTCGGACCATTTCCCTCAAGGTACCTGGCACCCTGCACAGGGTTTAGCACCTTGGCAATTCTTTCGCAAACTGGTTTTCCAGCACGGTTTAAAGGTCAAGTTCTGCGCAAGGGGCACTGCGAACCACCCACCACGCGTCGGGCCGTTTCCACTTTGAGGGACTTTTCACAAATCGGTCCATGGGTACGACGCGTTTTGTTTGATGAAGGTTCTTTTTCTTGGGTACCCGCCATCCCGTTAGGTTTTTTGTTTTGTTTTCTTTTCTGCTACTTTGTTGGTTTCATGGGGGTTTCCGTTTAACCCACGTTAAACCTTTAGCAAGGGATCTGAGGGCAGCCCAGAGCATTGTTTCTACTGTGACCATATTACGGCTGATTGGCGTTGCGAGTACGGAGCAAGAACAGTTGTATTGCGGTTGAGATTTGTGCCACATGAGGAATCTACCTATATAACTCTGATTTGTGTGCTTGTGCTTTCGTTTGGGCTGGCAAGGCAGATCTGTAATTACTCGCTTTGCAGCCGTTCTGCCTGATTAATCAGTATGTGGCTCCAGATGGTTGTTGCCGCCCATCCCTCAAGCTTCGGTCACAGGTCCATTTCAGGCGGTTTCTGTCGTCCGAAAACGGAGGGCCATTTTTTAAGGTTGTTTTTTCCGTTTTTTTTAAGGAATTATTTTTGTTTTTCAGGGTGGGTGGCTTTTTGGCTTTTTGGCTTTCGTGGGTTTTTGTGGCTTTTGTGGCTTTTCATTTCGCATCCTCTGCATTCACAGTTCCTCTCTTTCGCATCCTCTGCATTGCCAGTTCCGCTGGCTTTTTGGCTTTGCTTTTGGCGGCTTTATGGCTTTGGCTTTTCGCATCCTCTGGTTTTTGGCCTTGGCCCTGCATCCTCAGCATCGCAAGTTCCTCTCTGTGCCCGCCGCCACCCCCCTTTCGATTAAAATGCGCGCCTAATTGAATCATCACTTTTTCGATCATCATGCGACAGCTGCTTTTTAGATTCTTTGGCTGCCGTTTTACAAGGATTAGTTTGCCCGTATTTGAATCCTCACTTTTACCATGAGGCCTTGGCGCAGAGGCACTGATGCCCCCCCGCTGTTTTTTTTTTTTTTTTTTTAATAATATTTGTTTTGCCCATTGAATCATCACTTTTTTCAATCATCATCCCCCCCGACTTTTTGCCCCTGATTGAATCATCACTTTTTCGATCATCATGGGGGGGCGGCAGCAGCCCCCCCCCAACCCCCCCGCGCCTTTAATTGAATCAAAATTGAATCATCACTTCTTCAATCATCATGGGGGGGGCTGCCGCCCCCCCCCCCCTCCCCCCCAACCCCCCCGCTATTTTGTGGACTGTTTGCCTCTAATTGAATCATCACTTTTTCGATCATCATGCGACCGCTACTTTTTAGATTCTTTGCCCCTAATTTTTCGATCATCATGGGGGCGGCAGCCCCCCCCAACCCCCCCACTATTTTTTTAGACTTTTTGCCCCTGATTGAATCATCACTTTTTCGATCTACAGGGATTAGTTTGCCCGCATTTGAATCCTCACTTGTACCATGAGGCCTTGCCGCAGAGGAACTGATGACCCCCCCACCCGCTGCTTTTTTAATATTTTTTTGGCCCTAATTGAATCATCACTTCTTCAATCATCGTGGGGGGGGCTGCCGCCCCCCCCAACCCCCCCGCTATTTTGTGGACTTTTTGCCTCTAATTGAATCATCACTTTTTCGATCATCATGCGACCGCTACTTTTTTAGATTCTTTGCCCCTAATTGTTCGATCATCGTGGGGGGGGCCGCCGCCCGCCCCCCCCAACCCCCCCGCTATTTTTTAGACTTTTTGCCCCTGATTGAATCATCACTGTTTCGATCATCATGGGGGTCTGCCGCCCCCCCCAACCCCCCCGCGCCTTTAATTGAATCATCACTTTTGGGGGGGGCTGCCGCCCCCCCCAACCCCCCCGCTATTTTTTGACTTTTGCCCCTAATTGAATCATCACTTTTTCGATCATCATGCGACCGCTACTTTTTAGATTCTTTGCCCCTAATTTTTCGATCATCATGGGGGGGCTGCCACCCCCCCAAGGGGGCTGCCGCCCCCCCAACCCCCCCCCCCCCCCCTTTAATTGAATCCTCACTTTTACCATGAGATGCAGGAATTTGCTGGTGATGCTGGGGATGTTGGCTGGACATGCGGGGGATGTTGAAAACGATGCTGATGATGTTGACAGACGCGTAAAATGCGTACATTTCGCGAGAAAATGCTTTAAATTGCAGCAATTTAGTACCAAGGACGGAAAACAAAACACATCCCAAATTAAATCTCGACCCTCCGAACACCAGCCACGCAGGACGCGCTAATGGTTTGTAGGGCCTATGAAAAGGGATGCTGCCTCTGGTTTCCTTCAATTCATGAATATCGGGGGCTCCAGGTTGTAACGCCTCATAGGGAATGAAGTGGTCCATGGTCCTTGGCGATTCCCAACCATTCCTTGGAGGGATTGCCAGATGCGGGTGTGTCTTCTTTGGGACCCACATGCTGGTTTTCCTTTTGCCCTTTAAAACCACAAAGCAAGGGGTATCCAACAAGCCGGGGATCAAGGAACAGGTTCATCAACTTCTGAGGGGATGACATGGAGCACAGGCCAAAAATAAGAAATAAACACTTGCTTGCTCAGTGGGGGAGATCATTCATTTCGAGTATGGCTTACCTGGATCTTCAGACTATGACAGTCTCCGCTGTGTTTGATGTAAGCCTACGTGCTATGACGGTAGTAAGCATGACATGACATGCCCGATGACATTTATGAATGCAAGGAACCCCCTATCTGCTGGGTTTTACAGTTGATCGGTGGGTCAATTTCCTTCAATGGGAAGCCCGGATTCAGAACCCCTTGATCGACTAATTGTGTTTCTGGACTTGATACTTTTTTGGGGAAGTCCACTCATTGGAGGTAGACAAGAAGTAGTTTGCTGCCAAAGTGAGTGCATGGAAGCATCCCCTTCCAAGCCTTCTGCTCCATGGCATGGGGCGTTTGTTGCTCTCAAGAACCATCATGTTCTTTGCCTTCGGGAACCTTCTATAGATGACTTAGTCCTCAGCAGATTTGTATGAAAACCAGCAAGCATTTTTTTTTTTTTTCCGTTAAACAGAAACACCCTTTCCTTTTCAGACTCGTCAATTTGCAGGGGAGGGCTCTGGCTACGCCAATTCACCACTTCTTGCAGTTGGCGCCCTATAGGCCAACTGTGGCATCTATTGCGTCTCGCCGTTGCCCAGGTGGCTCTAGTGGCAGGGACAGAGTGGGGGCCAACGAATTTTGAACATGTTTCAAAGGCTGAATGTATGAGCCCATATTTATGAACCCCCCAGTGTTAACCCTAGCTAGCCGAGGGGTTTATGTGGGCATATGTAATCAGCTCCTTCAATGTTGCTTCTGAAAAAAGGTGCCCGACAGCCCCGTTCTGATTTTCTTTTGGCGCTTATAGACTTTTTGTACTGTCAAACACAATATGGTGAATGATGGCTTGTTCATGCACAATGAACTTTATGAAAGTGGAATGAAGGAATCGTGGTCTCCGCTTTCAGCAATGGTTTCGGACCAGTCATATACCAGGATGCATCGTACCTCGGGAATCGCAAATGAACCAATGATTGACATCTCTCTTTGTGATGAGCGCGGTCCGACCAATGGAACTTCGCATTCAGCCATAGACATGGAAGCTGGGTAACCTTACGGGCGTCCGATGTCATGCGGTCATGACCAAGGCTTCGCAGCCCTCAACGTGTTTCCGGTAAGATAACCAACATGAAGCTCATTTGCATGGGTTTTGAAAGCTATTCAAGTGACCCAGTGCGTGGGGATTCATAGGGGAGGGGGGGCTATCCCCGGACTTCTCCTTGGCTCATCCTGGGCTTTAGCCAGGGATAGCCCCCCTAAACGGTGCTCTGTAATGTGAGGCTACTTCTGCCTGCGCGTCAAGACTGTGGTAAAGGGGACGGGCGCAGCTTGCTAGGCTGAACGGTTGGTCCAAAACCCTCCAGAACGACGAGACGCGGCACCTTCTTTTCCCCTTTCTGGAAGGTGGATGCGGGCTCAAAGATGACGAAAGATGGGGATTTCTGGGTTACTGCATTGCCTTCCTTTCCTGGCAGCGTTCGGAATTTCTTGGTTACTTTGCCTTCACCTTCCTGGGGGTGGAAAGGATGCACACATCTCGCGGAACTTTTCAATCGGTTGCCCGGACGGACATGAGCCGCGGGCCTTGCGACGAGTCCGGCGACTGGACTCGACCGCCGCAGCCGCCGGGCTTGCGGCGTGCCGTCATTGTCTGGTTTTTGGCTACGTGCAAAGCTCTGGTCGACCAAGAAATGACGCAACTCTGGTTTTTGTTTGGTGCAAGTGACGAGATTGCGCTCTGAAAAAACCGGCGGCCAAGATGGCACCGGGGCCCGGCCTCAGACACAATAGCGCCAGGACGCAAAAAGACTCAGCTCACAGGATGGCGTGGCTGGGTTGCTTCGGGAGGGTATGGGGGAATCAAGCGACATCTGAAGGGAAGCGAAACAGGTCATTTGTTTGCTTGTCTTCTTGTGACTCGCGGTGCGCCCCTTTTGGTGAGGAACAAAGAAGCGGAATCATGGTCAGGATGTGTGAAGTCGGCATGCCTCGCATGTGAAGCGGTTTAAGGAAAACCAACATGAGGGTCAGACTACAGTTTTGGGGACTCACTCACTTTCCTGTAGACCCTGGGGTTTGTTTCCCTCTTTCTTTCCCCGAACAGATGCCCCGAAACACCCTCCTCGTTTTGCACGGAACTCTCCTTTTTTGGGGGCCCTTTGTTTGGTTTCTGTTCAGGGCGGAAGGCCGCCCGGACGCCTTGGTTCAGATGGAAATTTCTCCTGGGCCTGATGCTGGCGAAGCTGCTGGTGTTGGCAGGGGCTGTTGCGGAGGAGGGCAACGGCAACGGTCTGTGCTGGTACAACAGCTCCTTGCCTGGATTTTGACGAGCAAATGGATGTGTCGTTGTTTGGGACCCTCAAACATGGCTTCGGCTTTCCAGTTGGTTTCCCTTGAAAGCCAACCAACAGGGGGTTTCCCCCAGAAAAGACAGCAAAATTTGGCAAGTTTCCCAGAAATCGATGATCAAACGAGCAAGTTGACCAGGTTTCCGAACACTTCCCAGTTGGCTTTGTGTTTGATCAGCCCGCGGGACTTTTGTTTTCACTAGTGACTCAGCTCTATCCTGATGAACACTAAACTGTCAGGTGCGAAAAGCAGATTAAAGGTTGCACTGTGCAGACAAAACCAAGCACACCCACAGATTAAGGGGGAGTGTTGTACAGTTTTGGTGGCACGAAGCCGCTCAGTTCTGCAGCTTGCCTTGATCGAGCACGCGCACACACCCACACACATGACATGTTCGCGAGCTCACCAATCCGGAAAATTCTAGGCTTCATTTGTTGCACATGAACTATCAGGGTAACCCCGAATTGGTGGTTTGGATTGGCGGTTTGGCATTTACATGCGGTAGAGGGTGACTGGGAAACTACCCTTAACCACCAAACGACTAATTCGGCTCCACACCACAAATTGAAGGAAAGCCAACCCCAAAATTGTGGTTTTCCTTTTGAATTCTGTTTGGCGCCACCGGGCTCCAAACCAACTAGGAAGTCGTTTCGGCCAGGCGATCGCAGCTATGAGCGGTGTTGCTTGGGAGGTGATCCTGGGTGCTGGGTGGGCATTTGGGTCACGGCCGAGACATTGCCAGACTTAGTGCTTAGCTTTCAGCTCTTTGCCTTTTCTTGGTGGTTCCCAGCCATCCGGCCCCTTGTGTTTCTTTTTGTTTCTCCTTTTGCAATAAAATGTTTTTTGGTAGAGTGGTTAACCCACAAGTTAAACTCACTTTCAGCAGATCAGAAAACGGACCGCCCAGTTTTTGGTCTGTCATTTCCCCTTTCGGTCCAGCCAAGCGTCACCTTCCGAGTTCCAAACGTCTGGCCCAGGACATGTGCTGCCATCCCATGTCGCCGCAGCAGCAGCAGTGCTTCGACGAGATGGAGGGCCGGGTGGAAGCCAAGCTGAGCAAGCTACGAGAAACTTTGGCCGCAGCTGAAGAAGCTGGTCTCACGGAGTTCCTGGGGAGGGGGAGGATGTATCGTTATACAGCTGCTGGAATGTCTTGGTCTGTTTTCAGATTCCTTTTGTTGGAGAGGTTGGTTTGTATTTCAGTCTTCCCAAAATCTTTGGGATCCCATTTTTGGGATACCAGTATTGGGGTACCTGAGGCCAGCTATGAGATCCTCTTGTCTCAGCCGCTCTCTTTGTGGTCCTGGGCCTGCAGTGTGTCGGATTCCCCTCTGCTTTGGAGCGACTCTTGCGCTTGCTGCGAGCCCCCAGAAGAGGGCTGCGACGAGACCGACGGCACGCATGGACAGAGGCAGAGCGCCTGGTCCAACTTTGTGGGGTGCTGCTACACCATCTACGCTCGGAAGGCGGTCGCTCGGTTCTTTTTCTTTCCCCAACAGCTGAAAGCTTTGGGGTCTCAGCCCAGATAGGCTCCGGGGTGGTCCGGGGCGGCCCTGAGGTAAGGTTCCACGAGGGTTCCACCAGGGCTCCACCAGGGTTCCACCAGGGTTCCACCAGGGTTCCACCAGGTTTCCACGAGGGCTGCGGGGTTGTGCGAGCACTAAAAAGAGAACACCGCATGCTGTTGGGGATATCACCTGTTATTGGAGCTGCATGTGAGCGTGGGGGGAGGCGTTTTATGGTGAGTCGGATCCGAAAAGGGACATGCCGATCGCAGGGCCTGTCTGACTGGGCTCATGGGAAAGGGCTTTGTCATCTGCTTGCTCGCTTGCTCGTGTTGGTTTCAGTTGTTTGCCTACATTCCAGATGAAGCCCCAAACCTTCCCATTATCTCATCAACCTGGGTTGTTGGTGGACAAAACCCTGCTTGGCCCTTTCAAGAGCCCAAAAAGGGTGGGGAAAGCCTAGTGCAATTTTTGTGTAAGGGATCTGAACCCCCGAATTGGTGTTTGTCCAAGTGGTTTTCTTCGCAGTTGTTGGATCAAGCATTTAGCTGTGTTTTGTTGTTTTTGGTTCAGTTCATTTTTTGGTTGCTTCTCCCCCAAACAAAAATATGAAAGACAAATATTTGATTTTAATGGGTTATTAATTAAATACATAGATACATATACCAATCAAATACATGCCTGAATAAAACAATGGAGTCTTTCCCGTGGTTTTTTGCCTTACCACCCCAAACGAAAGGGTTTTTTTTCGCCTCGGAGAAAACAAGAAGACCACCAGGGCTCATGTCCCCGACTGCCCCGAGAATCCATCGCGAAGCCGCCAGGCCCTGGATCCGCCGGACGAGGCGCTGGAGCAGAGCATCCAGGAACAGCTGCAGGGCCTCACCCCGCGGCGGAAGAGCGTCATGGAGGACGGGGGTGGGCTTCGGCCCCCCCCCCCCCCAAAACAAAAAAACAAATCCGGTGAAACCGCTAAACAAGGGGTAGCCCAAAAGTACACCCGTGGGTGTCTTGAGGGTTCTGTTTTTTTTTGCTGGTTTCCAGAAAGGTCTTGAGGTGTTAGTTGGTGAAAGGTGGCTGGGTTAGATGGGAGTGCCTCCCAAAATCTGCCAAAGGCCCGGTTACGCTTTTGGTAGGTGGGATTTTTTGCTGCTTTCCCCGGTGGTGGGCGGGTGACAATGGGAGTCCCGGAAAACGGGCCCGCTGGAAAAATGCCGCCCTCCTTTTTTCCAGCTGGTAAATCATGTCAAGCCTCTCTAAAGCAGGGATCGTTTTTTTCCCATAAAGCAGCAGCCCAACAAAAAGTGTGTCTGGTTGAGCCACTGGTGGTAGCCTTTGGTGGCTCGGATGGGCGATTTGGATTCGAACCCCTGGTTCTTGTAGAGGGTAAATGGCAAACTAGCCACCAAACCACTGATTCGGCTCCAAACCAACTAGAGGGCACGCGACATACCCCTTACCCAATACCCTCTTTTTTTAGGGTATGATGTCGACCCTCCACTCAAAAATCAGGTATTTACCCTGAAAAGCCAGGTATTCCAAACAAAACACCCTAAATCGTCTCCGGGTATTTGGAGACTACGGGGGGCAGGACTTCCAACGCTTCGGGCGCCCACTGAAACCGCCAAAACCGGGTCTTCGCGCCTCGCGCCTCAGCTTTTCGGGAGAGGACGGGCCGCAGCTCTCCTGGAAGCTGGGCACCACGACGTTGGCGCGGGGCTGCGTTGTGTCTGTCCACGCCGACGGATCGGTGACGACCTGCGAGGCGGCATCGCCGGATCCGGGGGCTTGCTTCGGATTCATCGCCGTCCGCGAGTCTCGGGGGTGGCAAGGCCGTTTTAGTAAGGGCATGGTCGAGTTTGGTTTGTTTTATGTTCTTTTTAGTTTTTTCATTTTTCCTATTTTACATGAGTTATTTTAGCTCCGTTCTTTTTGTTTTTTGGACTATAAGGGTCCTCGGATTCACGTGGACACGAGATTTTTGATCAATCTAAAACCCCCTGGCAGCCCAAGCCCGAGTGAAACCCAAGTGAACCCCGAGTTATCTCCCCAGTGAAACCGATTGTCCTATGCTAGGTTCACTGTTGTTGGCAAGTGTTTAGGTTTTTTGGTTCTGTTCACTGGTTCTGTGTTTGGTTCTGTTCACTGTTTTTTCCGTTCTGTGTTTAGGTTCACTGTTTTTTGGTTCTGTTCATGTTTAGTAGGGAGCTGCACACAACCAACAGGTTTTTTGCTGCCGTACCACGGGTTGGACAACTAGCTAAAGCGACCTGGCTACTTTGGGGGAAACATGGAAGCGGGGGCACACCAGGTAACGGCTAATTTGGCGGTAGGGATTGTCATCAACCCAGACAGCAACGTGGTTAATGCTGCTTTTTTAAATACCTCCCAAGAACAAGCACGGAACCTGAAAGGGACCCGTTAAGAGACCATGTTCCTCTAGCAGGGGCGTTACCTTTAAAGGGATCCATTGGTCCATTCCCAAAACCTCCGCTGATTCACTATTTTCCTTGCGCAAATAGGTCAAATCGGTCAAACTGCTTCCTTGCTCGCTTGGTTGCTTGCTTGGTTGCTTGCTTGCTTGGTGGGTTGGTTGGTGGGTTGGTTGGTTGGTGGGTTGGTGGGTGGGTTGGTTGGTGGGTTGGCCGCCCTGCCTTCGCAAGATCACTGCCCCCACGAGGAGAGCCACGCTTGCCACGGCGGCGGCAGCTTCGATTGCTCCTTCCTGCGCGCCTTCCGCCTGGCGCTCGAAGTGAGCCCCGGACGTGAGAGCCATTTGGGGCGCCCCCCCGACGTTTTTGTGGTTGGTTTGAAGGGAACGCCAGCGGGAAACCAATGGTTTTCGGGGTTCCCCCTATTTTTTGCGGCAGCTGTTTTTGCGGCTACCCCCGAGTCTTGTGCGGTTTTATGGGGAAAACCACTAGAACACCAGCCATTTTCGGGGTGGTGGTATTGAGAGTGTCTGTTTTTGAGGCCTGGCACCGCGATTTTTCGCGGTCTTATAGGGAAACCAAAAGGAAAGCCTTTCTTTCGGGACCCCCAAAGCCAAACATTGTGTTTTTCCTTTGGGTCCTTTAACACCAACCAAACAGGGGTTCCCTGAAGAAGAAGCACACACATTTCCTGAAAAGGATTCTGAAGCTTTCATGGTTCAGGGTGTTCAAAACCATTCAACTTCCGAACGTTGCTTTCTTTGGGCGATTCAAGATGTTGACTTGGCATGCGATTGAATCGCAACCAGGATAAATCGAGCCCTTGTTGACTTTTCATCAAGGACCTTGATGCAGTGTACGGTCCATTTGGGGTTCAGGACATACAACACTTGCCAAACTCCCACCAAACTCCGAGTTTTCCCACCGGAGACTCTTTTCCCCATGAAACTTGGTTGTTCCCAGCCATCCCCTTAGGTCTTTAGGTTTTTAGGCTTTTAGGTGTTTAGTTGGTTCAGTGGTTGGGTTACCATTGAACCCACAAGTTAAAAACTTTTAGCAGGGGATTAGAAACCGGACCGCCCAGTTTTTAGTCTTCAGTCGTTTCCCCTTTCAGTCTAGCAAATGTTGTCTTCTTCCGGGGAATTCCAAACGTCTGGCCCAGGATATGTGCTGCCATCCCATGCCGCCACAGCCCAGCAAACACATTCGCCGCATCTTCCTCTTACTAGAGAAACTCGGGAAATCTATGAAAGAACATCACCAACTTGACCAGGGAAGCCGGACAGCCCAGAAAGCACTTCACTGTTGTTGGCAAGTTGTTCGCTGTTTTGGTTCTGTTCACTTTTAGGTTTGGGGGCTTCAAAGAGCAACAACTCAGGAAACCTTTAGTTGGTGGTTTGGTTTGGGGATTTGAACATCTGCACTCAAACACCGATTCTGCTCCAAACCACGAAAGAACGAGGGAAGCTGAACAACCATTGTTTTGAGCCGGTTTTCCGGTTGACCGCTGGAGGATTCAGAAGCTCCGCCCCTTGCCGCCGCTGGATCTGGTGCTGAATGCCGGGGACGAGACCGTGGACAACACCCTGCAGGCACCGGGCGAGTGGTGGAGTGGAGGAGATGGGCTCGGTTTGTTTTGGAGACTCCGGTACCCCCATTATATATACACATATTTACACACATATATATATATATATACACAGATGTATATATGTACAAATACGTATATATATATATAAATACATACACATACACGTGTCTGTAGATATTTTCACGGGGACCCACAAAACGGCTTTCGGTTTCTCTTAAAACCAACCAACGTTTTTTTTGTTGTTGTTCTTGTTGTATATTTCAGGGTACCCGCAAAAAAAGCGTCAGTTTTCCTGTTGGTTTTAACAGATCCAAACCCTTGCAATCGCATGGGTGTGTGTTTTCTTGAGGCGAAGGGTTTTTCAGGCTGGTTCAAGGGAAACCACCCAAACATGGGGCGTCCCCCTGAATTTAGTAGCCACATGTTGAGAGTGACAGCTAGTGAATGATAATCCGAGAGGTTGGTGTCCGGAGTCCTTGCGAACCTGAGATCTCCAACAGTGACTCTTGCCCCCTTGAGATACATGGGGGTTGATCTAAAAGGTTCTTTACATGGGATTACCATTGGGGAAAACCGCCAAAAGATGGCTTTCCTACCAATGGGCAAAGTTACCCATGGCCATTTGGGGACCAGGCATGTTTATCAACTCCCACGTCTGAGTGAAGAGCAAGTTCCGTTTTCCTTTTCGGGTGGCTTCCAGATTCCAGGTTTTGGGCACCAAACCACCGAAAGCCGCACCTCACGAAGACTTCTCAACATTGCATGACGTTTCCCGAAAAGTGCCCTGATTTGTCCACCAAGCTTATGAACCCCTTCTTGGGATCTTGGCGCAGGGTCCGTGAGTTGTATTCAAAGGCCAACATGAGCCCCTAATTTTGAGAAGCAGCACCCCAAACTATGGTTTCCCTTTAGTGTCCGTTTAAACTCACCCCAAACATGTGCCCTCAAGAAAGACACAGAGACACACCCCTTCTTTTTTTGCTAGGCGGCGCCGGTATTCACGCGGGTGGGCACCCGGTGGACACACTCCCTGGCGCTGCCCGCGGAGTGGCAGCTGCACCCGGGGCAGTGTGGGAAGAGCGTGAAGGCGGAAGTGTCAAAATCAAACCACCAGGAATTGGACCGCAGGTTTTAGTCCATGTTTCCACTTACAGGGTTCCGTTTACAGTACATAGTTTTGTCCCACAACCGTGTGAAGATCGATCCCAAAGTTGGGCTGGTGAGGTTTTTTGCAAGAGGCTGTTCGGAACCAGCGAAGAAAGAGGTTCCAGAAGGGTGTTGTTTTTTGTTTTTGGTTGGTGACAGGTGGGGGGGGTTCCGAATTGAACAACCACTAAGGTGAAGCTTTGAGCCCAGAAGCACAGGTATCGGGACCCAGCAGCTTCGGAACGAGCCGATTTCTGGGCCTATCGACCCCATAGCTTTCAGCTGGGGAAATTGTTTGGGGTCAACTTGCAAAAGTGTACGATTCTTTTTTGAGGGTTCCTTTTTTTAAGAACAAGTATATGCTTTTTTGCTGTCCCTTGTTTTGTTGGGGTTTAGAGGGAAACCAAGGGGGGACTCTTTTTGTTGGCGGGGGGTCGCATCACAGGGTATGTTTAACGGGTGTTTAAAGAGGTTCCTTATATGTCACCCTGTCTAGTTTTGAACATCTATTGATTGCCCATTTAAACCGAGTTTCCTTTTGGTGGAAGGCGCGGGGAAAATTGGACATGTGTTTCTTATGATAGAGCTGGCAAAATGATGAGTTGGCCAGAAGGGAGTTGCTCAAGATGGTTTTCAGACACAGAGACACGGAGGCACGGAGACGCAAAGACAGAGTCAGGCAGAACATATCCGTTGGCAGGGGCAACATCCCAAGTTGAAAAACTCCGATGTGCTGCAAACAACAAAAACAAAGGCGACTCGCTACGCCACATTGTCATGGACCCTGGGGTGAAAGGCCACCAAAGGATTCCAAGCAAAGCCGCTGGCAAACGCAGAGCCGGGGAGTTCGTTTTGTCGCTCAGGTGGGAATGAACGCCATGCTCCAGATCCGCTGGGAGGACAGGGAAGCGCTCTTGGTTTGGCGGGGGTCCCACTCGAACTTGTGGTCCCCGCACTGCAAGATCTCACCAGCCGCCAGGGATGAGGAGATGCTTAGGAGAGGGGTGATGTCGAAAGCGAAAGAGAGGTGTGGTTAGAGGTCTTCGTAAGTGTCTATCTCTCTCTCTCTCTCTTTTTCAGATATACCCTGCCTCCCACTTGCCTAGCAACTGAGCCAGGGTACCTGGAAGATCAATTTCCTTTTGGAGGGGCCCTCTGTCAGGTACCATGTTAGCGGGAGGTACATACATATATATATATATGTATATATATATATATATGTATATATATATATGTATACAAAGGGATGCACTTGATGCTTGTCTCGAGTCCTGATAGGTTGACGGCCATTTCTGGCAAGAAATGTGAATCGCTGAAACAACGTGAACAGCAACGTGCGTAGACGATTTGGGCTGTGTTTCAAAGTTGAATGCATCAGGCGAGGGGTCTTAGCTGCGAGAAGTATCCTTAATCAAGACAGCTACGACCATTGGAGCTACAAGAATCATTTTCCATTCCTGCCCCCATCTGGCTTCCCTTCAAAGAACAAGCAAGAAAACGACCTTATATATTTTCCGGTTTTTGCAAGGAACAAACAAGAACCGCACTCTACCCTTTCCCTGCTCTTGCCCCATCTTCTGATTTCATGGAGGATTTTTTCCGCCTTGACTCGCCATGGAGGGGTTTAAGCCTCACTTTCACCTGCCCAACCCACCCAAGCCCCCCACCCCCCACCAATCCCCCTCCCAGGAAGTGCGTGGAGCTGCCTTTGGGGGAGATCCGTTTGCCCCGCTGGGACCTCAGCACCTGGCTGCAGATGCCCCGGGGCCGGCTGCTGATGCTCACGCGCTTCGCGCCTTATCTGATCGACGCCAAGCTGGTGGACTCCCAGGCCGGTTTATATGTATAGGGTTTGTTATATATATGTACATTTATATATGTATATGCTTATTTATAGGGTTTGTTTGTGGGGGTCTGTCTGGTCTTGTTTTGTTTGTTTGAACCTCCCACAATGATTGTGCTTTGCCTAGCTTCCCTTCACAAAGTCAAGTCAAGGTGTTTGCTTTGCTTCTTACCAATGATGGGAGTCTGGAGCAACTTCCGCCCAAACCCTCCTGTCCACTTCCGCCGGGTGTTCGTGGCCGAGGCTGTGGTTTGTGGCTCAGGCAAACGTTTTGCCTTTTGGAGATGGAACTGGGAGGTGGGAGGTGTATGTTTTGGAGGCCTGAGAAAGGGAACGCACCTTTTTTTTGTGGGGGGGCGGGGGAAAAAGGGGGGGGGTCGAGGGAAGAACCTGGATTCGGTGGTTTCTTTTGCCAGCCACCTTCCCAAACCTGTTAAGAGGGAACGCCCCAAAATTGGCCCAAATACCCATCTGTATTGTAAGAGGACGTCCCCTCCAAGATGGTTGGACATAAATCTCCGCCATGTCCACCAAGGGCTGCGGGACCCATGAGATGTCCAAATGATCGCCTCCCCACAGTTCTTGTTTGGGTGTCTCAAAATCGGGGTACCCCCTCAAAAAAGCGGCGTCGGCGTTCCTTGTCGGCTTCTCTTTAAACCAAGGGTAACACGGGTACCCTTCGCCTCCAAAGAAAGAAAAAACGCACGTGCAGCCCATTTCTTAGTTGAGAGGTGGCCCCCATGAGCTCTGAGCTGGAGCAGTTCTTGCGGGAGGAGCAGCTCTTTGGCGACCGGATCAAGGCCGCGGTTGTACGCTTCGCGGTGTCGCCTTGGGTGGTTTGGGTTCTCGCACAAATACCGTGGATGGGCAAAATCCATTTCGCAGCGCCTAAGAAACCCTGGAAAAAAATCGATTCCCGATTCCCCTGTAAATACTAACAAACAACGGTCTCAACCATGGTTTTCAAAGTGGTGCGAAATGGATTTCGTCCATCCACAGTAGGGTTGGTACCCTCAAAAGGGTTGGCTTCCTTTGGTTTCACTCGAAAGCAACCATTCTCATGGCTACCCTCACAAACAGATGGAGACCCGTTTGGATTGGTGGTTGGATATGAGCTGGTGCTTGCGGGTAAATGGGAACCTCAAACCACACCTACGAAGCACCGGGCGAATAAAAGCCACCAATTGAAAGGATGAAGTTGTCGTTTCTTTTGAGAGTCAACTTGGACTCGGGCTGGTATGGCCGATGAGGAGCCGCACTCCCACGTTAAAGCCAGTTCCCGAAAAGAGTCTCCCCCTGGTTCCGCCTGGGTTATTTCTCTCAGGAGGACGGGGCCTCACCCCCGCTAACATGGCACCTGACAGGGACCCGGTCCCTGCAAGAGGACATCCACCTTCCAAGGTACCCTCCCACAGGTGCTATGTTAGTGGGAGGGAGGGTAAACATCGTTGGCTTGTTCTCTGGGTTTCCTCTACCCAAGGTTGGGGCCCGATTTCCGGGAACATCGAAATTGGGAAAGTTCGGGGGTGCGCTGCCAACGATTTCCAGCGAGGCATTGGTAGGAATGATGCCTTGTCACTTTTCTCGGATGTTGCGGCTTTGGACTGAACTAAACACACGCTGACCCCACCCTCAAAACAACAACCCAAAGAGCCAGAAAATCGAAAATTGAGAGATTGACCCCAGATGCGGTTTTACTTTCTGGCTTTCCTAACTAATGTGAAAAGGGTAAAAAGAAGACACACCCAAAACCCAGGCTTTCGGCCTCGAATTCAGCACCCGGCAACGAACGATTTCCTCGCGCTCAGGGGGAGGACTTTGCGAGGTACAAGTACCAGATCGCCATCGAGGGCAACAGCGCGGCGGACCGCATCTGCTGGCAGCTCTTTTTGGGCCCCTTTGCTCATTTGAATCGGCGGAGTTCAAAGCCGATGGTTTGGGGTGGAGCGAGTTGTTGCTTCCCGCTGATCGAACAAAAGTCAGGCAGCCAGAAGGCTCAGAAATTGGGGGCTTGGGGGGTGGGTTGGAGGGGTTGTTGGGGGTTGCTAGTCAGGCTGGGAGGATGGGCTCTTCGGGACTTAGGAAATCAGCGATGACTCCTTGGAGTAGTCAGCAAGTGGAGGCTGTAATCTTAGTTGGAGCCCGACCCGATTTTTCAATTTGAAAGGACGTCGCAAGAAAAACCTACCGCGTGGATGGGTCTCTGCTTTTGACGACGTCCCCGAATAGCGCAATTGTTTGACACCTGGCGGCCGCGGTTTTTGGCGGGAGATGGTCATCAGCAGGGACGGGATTGCAGCATGACTAGCATTGGAATTCAGTGGCGGTCTGAAACTTACAGGGTCTCTTTTCGTGAAGCTAACAGAGCATACGCAAATTCGGGCGGCCAGCCTGTTTCGCTTTAAAATATATCAAAAAGGAGTACCCTCACACACACAAGTATCCACTATCATCGATTTTTGGATCCTGAGTGGTTGAACGAACCAACTCCGAATCCTTCCAAATCAGCAAGGTTCCGCAATTTACTTTGCCCTGTTTCTACCACTTCACTGAGTGAAGTTCAGAAACCTCAACCATTTTGCCCCAGCTCCTTGTGGTTCCGGAGTCTGAGATATTGAGCTTGCAGCGAGGAAACAGCGCCAGGGGAGAGCAATCCTTTTTACCCTTGGGTCTAGGCAACCGCTTGCAAGCCACATGGAACGCGTCTTCAGGGCCGGAAGGGAATCTCTGTCTTTTCAATACCTGGTTCCTCAGTTCCGAAAGAAACCATGGTCGAAATATGGTAGGGAGAAAACCCGTTTCCCTAATTTGTTCGTCAAGCCACGGGAACGGCCTTAATTCAAAAATACAATCGCACTGTGTTTTCAGGCTTGATCAGCTTCCCTTGGATTGCTCACAAGGCTGTAGTAAGCTCTGCGGATCAATAGGGCGGTGTTTCGTGACCAACAGTGAAATGGGAATACTCTTTTCATTTCGGGACCCCCCTTTCAAAAAGACCAATAATAAGGTTATTGTTTTCCTGTACGTACAAGAGACAGTTTTGAGCCTCCCCCCAAAAAACAACAAACAGCAAAAAACGTTTTCCCATTGCCGCCCCCAAAGAAAAATAAAACACACAAAACAAAACACAACAAGCCGGTTTTCCCATGGGCTTCCCCTACTCGCCAGGCTCTGTGGTGCTGGTGCCGGACGGTCCCTGGCAGATTTTAGCACCTCTAAGCCTCATGCAGCCCTGGGTCCACTACGTGCCAGTGATGCAGCACGGTCAAGTCCCCCCCCCCGTTTAACCCCCTTAAAAGCATCAACCCCAATTAGTTTTAGGGATCCCCCCAAAAAAAGAGAGAGAGAGAGTAATCTATATATATATATATATATATATAATGAATAAAACACAGTAACAAATAAGGCATTTTCTTCTTTTCGCCTTACTTGAGCCAACCTGAAAAGGGCACCCTCTACCAAAAACACGTACCAATGTAGTGTCATTTATGGCAGTAAAGAGGATGACATGGGGCACACGAGCCGCAAAATACCCGTCGGAATGGGGGGACAAAGAAGAATGACCGTTGCTCATTGACCAGACCTCCCTGTGGCCCACTTTTGTGCCAGGAACATGTAACAAGATGGAGAGGACACAGTTTTTGGCAGCTGGCTGGTGTGCGCAATCTGCCACCAACACCCCTTTCTCTCGTTTTTTTTTGGTCACCAAGGTGAATCAATTGTTAAAGGAATTCTGCCCTGCGAGGCATGCTTTATGCGACCCCTCGCCTATTGTCTACGAAATGGCACTGACAATCGATCTAGTGGCAAGGCTCATGTACACGGAAACCGGAAGGCAACTAAGTGTTTTGCACTATTTTAGACGCATGAGGGGGGGGGGGGGGGCAAAATGGTGGGTTTTCTTTCCCTTTAAAACCACCGGAAAAGGGGTACCCTCAAAAAAAGGCGCACCCACATGTACGCTAAGGTATGATCTCAGCGATTTGGTGGAACGACTTCAGTGGCTGCGCTCCCACGACGATGAAGCGAAGGCCATCGCTTTGAACGGCGTCACCTTTGCCCATCGCTGCTTGGCAAGTGGGTGCGTCTTTTTTTTTGGGACCCCACAAAATACTAGCTGATGGTTGGAAGGGAGCTGAGGAGCTGGGGGTATGCAAGTTTGTTTTGGAAGTGGGAGCTGAGGAGATATGAGGAGTTCTGTAACGAGATGGTAACATAGTGTTTTTACTTTTGGTTTGCCTTTGAAGCCCCCAAACAAGGGTGGCCTCAAAAACCAAACACACAGCGTGAAGAAATAAGCTGCAGCATACCAGGGGTGGTGATACCGTGATACCCATGTGCACAGAGGATGCCAAATTCGAAGCGAGTCTTCTGCGGCCTTTGCTGGTGAGTGGTGGTGGCGGTGGCGGTGGCGGTGGCGGTGGCGGTGGCGGTGCTGGTGCTGGTGCTGGTGCTGGTGCTGGTGCTGGTGCTGGTGCTGGTGCTGGTGCTGGTGCTGGTGCTGGTGGTGCTGGTGGTGCTGGTGGTGCTGGGTGGTGCTGGTGGTGCTGGTGGTGCTGGTGGTGCTGCTGCTGCTGCTGCTGCTGCTAGTGCTGCTGCTGCTGCTGCTGCTAGTGCTGCTGCTGCTGCTGCTGCTGCTGCTGCTGCTGCTGCTGCTGCTGCTGCTGCTGCTGCTAGTGCTGCTGCTGCTGCTGCTAGTGCTGCTAGTGCTGCTGCTAGCTGCTGCTAGTTCTGCTGCTGCTTGTGCTGCTGCTGCTAGTGCTGCTGCTGCTAGTGCTGCTACTGCTGCTTCTCCTCCTCCTCCTCCTCCTCCTCCTCCTCCTCCTTCGTCTACCTTCTCCTCCTTCTCCTCTTTCTCTTCGTTCTCTTCGTTCACCTCGTTCTCCTCGTTCTTCTCCCGTTCTGCTTGTCGTTCTTCTGGTTTCCCTCTTCCTTTCTTGCTTATTCGTTTTGTTGTTGTTTCTTGCCTGAGTTGGCTTATGCTATGGGCGGCAGCGGCGTCGGCGGCGCAGTAGCATCCGCAGTATTATGTCACAATACTTCTGCAATGCGGTGATGGTAGTATTGTGGTTGTGGTGTTGTGGTTGTGGTTGTTGCGGTTCTTGGGTTGTAGTTTTGGTGCGGTCTCGCTTCCTTGTGTTTTCTATCTCCTCATTTTTGTTTCGTTTGTTTGCTTTGTTTGCGGCCATCGCTTTGGCAATCGTGGTCATGAGTGCGGTTTGTTTGCAAGCGCGATAGCGGTCCTCATGTTTGATCCCGATCCTGGCTGTCGGCATTGTGGCTTGTGTTGTTGTCGTGGTCCTGTGGTCATTGTTTCATTGTGGTACTTGCATGAAATGACTGTGCGGCCGTTGCAAGCTATTTGAATGGCAGCGGTCATTGCTGGATCCCATAGTGTGGTCGAGTGGTCGTCGCACTGGGAAAGACATATCACAAAAAAAAAAAACAAGCCCTGTGCCTGGTACCGAGTCGTTTGCTGTTGTTGCTTGTTGGCTGTTGGCCACAGGTTGCACATGTTCGCGTGGCCTGAGCTCGTGGGCGCGAGGTGCTTGTGTCGTTGCGCTGGCCGGGGGTCTGGAAGCACGTGAAATATGCCTATGGTCATGTATTAAAACCGGGGGGGGGGGGGAAGGAGGGGGGGGGGGGCGGGGAAGGTCTGCTTTTTGAGGCTTTCGGTTTTGGATGTTCAGGACACCAAACGCACAGCACCCTGCCCCTTTTGTGAGACATGCCAACATAGAAACGAACATGCAGCGGTTGCTGTAAGTGCTGTGGATGGCAACACAGCTGTGGGTTTTTGTGCGCATGGGTCCTTTTCTTCTTTGCATCATGTTGGGTAGACTCCTTGAGCACCTGGTTTTGATTGCGACAAGCTTGAGCCGATTTGTTTGGTCCTGTTGAAGAAGTGCTTTGCGCGCTGAGGTTATCTAACCTGCAACTCGGGCTGAAATGGACACGGTGTGGGCATTTGGGCGAGCCATTTGGGTGAGCCATTTTGCATCAGCACACGGCTTCAGGATACTTGCTTTGCTTCACGCGGCGATTATTTTTTCAGGTGACGGGAACATCTACTATGTGGACCGCTTGCTTCGTGCGTCCCTTGGACAGCGAAAAAAACACGTTATTTTTCCTTTTTTTCCCCTTTTTCTGTTGCAGCACATTTAAGAGTTTTGTGTTGGTGCTTTCAAGCTGCTAAGCGCAAAGATCCTTCCGCCAGTTCCTTTGAAAGAGCCTTATCAAATCAAGGAAGGTCCCCTCCGCACCTTTCGTTTCGCTTTGCAGCTTCCCAGCGGCTTGCTGGAACCTGTCCATTTTCAAGACCCATGGCCAAGGTATGCTGACAGACTCTCCGACTGACCACAAATACCGCGATCGCGTCCCAACACGAAGCTCCAGCGCTCAGCTCCCCCGCGGTTCCAACAGCAGGGCCCGGCCAGCGGCCGTGCCCGGGGTTTCCTGGACTGCGACGGGGCGTCCTGACGCGACCGTCGAGGTGGTGTCGACAAGGCGAAGCCGCGGAGCCGAGACGGCCGAAGCAAGGCTGAAGCATGTCGCGGCCAGGACGCTGGGCTTGGCAAGAGTACACCGGGAAAAAAAGATTCGGCGACCGAGCTTTGTGGCTATGTGGTTGGATCTGTTTGACACTTTGGGGATTTTCCTTTTTACCCACAGAAAGTGGAACACTTTTGACGGGTCAACAGCGACCAAGAGAGAGATCATGTGTTTTGGCCACATGTTACTCTGAAGTTGGCTCAAGGCTGCTCGAGCCCTCTGATTTCCGACTCGCCTCCGTACGCCATGACGAAGGCTGGGATCTTCTTGCCAGGTGAAGCGCCTTTTCTTGGTGGTGCCCAGCGAATCGTCCGGTTCCTTAGGTTATTTGAGGTATTTATTGGCTTTGAAATGTTTTTAGAGGTTCTTAGTTGGTTTCGTGGTAGTTTCCCCATTTCACTCACTAGCTCCACTTTTGGCAGGGCATCTGAAAACGGGAGCCCAGTTTTGGTGAAAAAAGGCGCATCCCTCTGCAGGCGGTCTACTACAAGCTGTGGGCGACCACAGCGAATTGGACCCAGCGCACTCAGTATGGCTGGTACCAGGCGATCGGATGGGTTTCGATGTCAGAACTTTCGCCTATTGTTCAAAGGCCGAACACGGCGCAATCACCCAGTCGCGTAATTTTCCCACCCATTGGTTGAAATCTCCGGATGTGTGTGTGTGTGTGTGTGTGTGTGTGTGTGTGTGTTATTGGTTGTGTGTGTGTGTGTGTGTTATATTGGTTGGGTGTGGTAAGGCCAGGCTCACTTTGCTTCAGGTCTGGTCGCGAATGGCGCCGTGGGCCGTTTACGTGGCCGCCTCAGTGTTGCTTCCGTTTGTTGACGGACATAGATGGGCTTGTCTCATGGGGGAACCCCTGGAATAAGTGGTTTCTTGTAATATCCCTGTAATGGGCACCCAGAAGTGAACCCCTGGTTGATGAATAGGGGGGTGCCCCTTTTAGTAGGGATTCATGATTGTTGGAGGGAAGCACCCGCCTATCAATTGAACCGGTCTATTCATCCGGGATCAACATGACGACCCCCCAAAAGGGTAGCCCAAAAACAGACATACCCAGCTAGATTGCAACCAGGGATGCCGCAAACGCCTCGTACATTGGTTCATTTCTCTCTTCTTGAGTGCCAGATGTTGCTACCACCACTACTACTACTACTACTACTACTACTACTACTACTACTACTACTACTACTACTACTACTACTACTACTACTTCTGCTTTTGCTTCTGCTTCTGCTACTGCTACTTCTGCTGCTGCTGCTGCTACTGCTGCTGCTACTGCTACTGCTACTGGTGCTACTGCTACTGTTACTGCTACTGCTACTGCTACTACTGCTACTACTGCTACTACTGCTACTACTGCTACTCCTGCTGCTACTGCTGCTACTGCTGCTACCGCCACTGCTACTGCTTCTGCTGCTACTGCTGCTACTGCTACTACTGCTACTGCTACTACTGCTGCTACTGCTACTGCTGCTAAACCTGCTACTACTGCTACTGCTACTGTTTTTTTTTTCTCTGAGGAAGCTAAACATGCCTCTCCTGTTGGGAAAACCTGTTCTCGGGCTCTTTGAAAGGGAGACCGAAAGGCCACTTGGGACGGCCACTTTGAAGGTGCAGATCGCCAATCCAAGTGGATTTGCTCTGGTGATATTGTGAGGGGTTGATACTGTACATGGCAAACGCAGTTTGGAAACCCGAAAGCAACCGGAAAATAAATCAGAAACCACTGGGAAACCGTTGAGTCGCAAACGACTCAGAAACCACAGGAAACCACGGGGCAAGCTATTTAGCTCCCTTTCCTCTGTGATCTTGAGCTAGTACCAAGCCTGAGGTTTCACAGCAGGGTGAATTGGCTGGGAATCAGTGGCAAGAACACAAACAGAATCCGACCACCAAGTAGTTGAAGCTTCTGGCAGTGGCGGAATTTTGATCGCTTTGAATGCAGTGTGGAGCGCACCAGCCTCTGCTTTTTTGCTGTGGATAGTCAAAGGATCCTTCTTGGGGGTGATGGGCATGGCTAAGTTAGGTCCAAAATGAGAAGGGGTCCACGGAATTTCGACTCCCATTTTTCTGCTCAAGCCAGTGGCACCCACTCACTGCCTCAAAGAGTTGCCGCACGACTTGCCTCCTCTTTCCCAGGTAGCAATGCCAACGGCGGCCTGGTACAGCTTCAGTACCAGCCGTAGCTTGTGAGCCTTTCTGTATGGCATTCTTGCCAGGGTTGTTTGAAATACAGATGCCTTGTGCCAGATAGTGACTTCCCTGGTTGGAGTGGCGTACTGCGGATTGCAGATTCGACATTGCACGTTGCTGTGCGTGCTGGACATTGACCATACCTGGCTCAGAAGTTCTACTCTGGACACTCCCAAGCGAACTGAGACTGGTGGAGCGATGAGTGGAAGAAGATCTTGACCCTCGGCATCTACGAGTCCAAGCCTGAGAGAACTGATGGCTGCAGTTGAGTACACCTGAGTACACCTGAGTACACGTAAGTACACTTGATTGTACTTGAGTACATTTGAGTATTCAGCTTCAATGAGCAAGCGGCAGAACTGAGGCCCCCATCCATCCATTGGGACTACTGCATGACCGTGCAGTCCTCAGCATAAGGGTTGTGAAGGTCTGAGGCTGAAGAGCTTTGATCGACGCTGAGGGCGCGCGATCTGACTTTGTGAAGTATCACGCGCAGTGCCCCAACTCACTCGCAAGAAGATGCTTGCAGTTCAAGTTGCCGATCAGACCTTTTCAAGTGGATTGAGGAGAAGACTGAAACAACAACACGAGAAGGGAGAGCATGAACATGATGAGATATGAAGACTGCGCAGCTCATGTTGTGCATGATGGTGTCGAGACATAAATCATGTTAACACATGAACATGCCGACACGACTGGCTGGCAGAGAGGAGAGATAGATAGAGGAAGTGAGAGAGATAGAGGGATTAAGAGAGACAGAGAAAGAGAGAGAGAGAGAGAGAGAGGCTGTGAGAGAGGGAGAGAGGGAGACAGAGAGAATGAGCCGGGAGGAGAGATAGATAGAGGGAGTGCGAGAGATAGAGGGATTAAGAGAGAGAGAGAGAGAGATATACGGAGAATGAGAGAGAGAGAGAGAGATAATGCTGCAGTGCCGCCTGTGCGGAGGTATCCCGGGATTCCCTACAAGTGAAGCAGCGGGATTTGTTCCGCTTCACATTTGTGCCGAGCTTTGCGTTGCGGAGCTTATACATGATGGCTTGAGGAAAAGTACTCGGGACTGTATGGAAACCTGCGGTCCATGGCTCTGAAATGTCGAGCCTTCTGACGGATTTTCTGGGTCTGGCTCCTGGTTTTGGAGTTGGAACCATCCATTCTGTTGCTCTTTGTGTTTCGGGAAACCAAGAGAGCACACCCAGCAGCTTGGGGGGTGCGAATCCTAAGAATAAAAACAGGCACCCCCCAATAGCCAAGCAGTGCGTTGTTCGGGGGAAGCCCCTTCCCCCTTATTGTTTGGTTTTCAAGGACCAGCCCAAAGGACACCCACATTTTTTTGTCAACAAGAAAAGACACCCATATTGTTCAAGGGGTCACTGGCCAACTGGCTTTGTTTCCCACTGGTTGGATTCTTCAAGGCACTGAATCCCAAAACCGGGGTAGACTAAATAGGAAGCAGAATACCCCAGAATTGGGCAAAGCTTTGGATGTGTAGACAGTTGGAATTGTGCGCCGTATCCTTTGTCGAGGGTCCCCTTTTGGGGTTGCAAAGGAAGCCAAGGGTAATCATTCACTGTGGCCTTGTTTTCACCCCTTGCAGGGAAGTCATCTGGGCTAAAACAGGATTTGCCCAGATACATTTTGGCCACATAACAACCCACAGATGCCAACCCGTCTTGGGAGGGTCCGGATCCTTGCGTGTCCTTTGAAGCTTTTGGGAACGAAACGAGGTTGCGAAGGTCCGAGTGCCTTTCCGCGGTCACGTCAAACATTGAAGCCTATGAGTTAGCACACCCCAAAACCCAGACCCCACTCAAACCCACCCCAAAGACGTCCCTCAAAAAGACACCCATTTGCGCTTCGCACGGGGATAGGTCTTGCACGTCCAAACTTGATCAGAGGAGTGTACATGTCAAGCTAAACAAGCAACATGTGTGTGCACACACACACACAAGCATACATGGGCTTCAACGCAGATGTGGTGATGAAGTATGTGACGGCATGTGTCAAGCTGATCAAAGCACGGTATTACATGCTCTTGCGAAGGCAAGTCTGACTTGACTGGCTATCATAAATCTTGGGTAAATCTAGCACGACCATTCTTCTGTCTTGCCGGTGCCTGCCAGCAAAGCAGGGCAGATATTAAATTGCGCTGTAGGCGTTACGAGCAGCATGGACTTGGCGTCTTTCCGGTGTGCTGAAAGCTGCTCAAAGCTGTTGGTGTCCAAACGCCGGTAGTCCAGTGGTGACACCATGACGAAGGCGGGCAGTGTCTCTGTCTGTCTGCTTGTCCGCGTCTGTGTCTGTGTTTGCCTCTGCCTCTGCCTCTGCCTCTGCCTCTGCCTCTGCCTCTGCCTCTGCCTCTTCTCTCTTTTTGTTTGTCCGAGCCACTTTTCCGGGCTTTGGTTTCTTGTTTCTCCGTTCATCTTCCCTCGGTTCTTCTGGTCTCGGACAACGCCACGCAGGCGGTCTACTACAAGCTGTGGGCGACCACAGCCAATTGGACCCAGCGCACCCAGTATGGCTGGTACCAGGCCAGGCTTGGATAGGAGTTGGGGACGCCTTTTTTCTTCTCGGATTTTGGGTTGCCCGTTTGGTTGGGAACACGGAAATTAACCGGAAACCTCGAACAAAACTTGGGGATCCAAATCCTTCTGTTGACACTCAATTAAACCCTGGTTCTTTGATTTTATTCGCCTATCTCAAGTCTTGATAATCTCAGAAGTCAGGTCTCTTGAAACATAGCAAGCCGCACGTGCGACGGCCTTCCTCGTGTCTAAGATGGGTTCAAACCGGTACCGAAGCCACCCCAGGGTAAATTGGGATGCCCTTCATATGGTAGCTGTTTCAGTGGCCCTGCAGGTAGCTTCGGTTTGGGGGTGGAAACCAGTTTAGTAGGACAGCTGACATGGAAACGATGAACCCCTCAAGAAGAGTTTGGAGAAGGGTCTCCATTGAGGTGTGTCTTTCTGTTTTTTTAGGATTCGGACCAGATAGACACGCCCATTTAGAGTCAAGCAACAAAAACGGGGCGCGCTTTGCCCCTTCTGTTTTGTTTCACCAATTTGTCTGATTGCCAGACGCTTGATCGCCGTTAGTTGCTTTCACGCAGATTGCCTCACGTTCCCGCTTGCCAGTGGACGTTTGGTTGGCGGGTGCGTTGTGTAGGGCAAAAGGGCTCGTACCAGGGGAGCAGGGGAGTTCCTGCCACAGCTTTGGAGTTCCTGAGATTCTTTTGACACTTTTGGCCCCCTCATTTCTGCTGCCTTGCCCCGAGTAGCTTCCGGGATCTTTTTGGGAAACATGACAAATTTTGGGCCTTTGTGAGTGGCCGTGTCAGCATGCACAATGTTTGTCAGTTGGTATTAATGATGAAACAAATCAATCGCTTGGGATTCCAGACCAGCCCTAGTGGTTTGCTTTGATTTGCACCACCACTGATTACTGTCAGGAAGCCCTTTAAACGAATCTGTGCACGTGTCCTGGGATTGTTGTCTGACACCATTTGGAGGTTGGACGGGCCCGGCCGGCCTTTCGCCCTTTGGCCCGTGATTCGCAGCCAGGTTTGGTCTCGCATGGCGCCCTGGGCTGTCTACGTCTGAGCCCGAGCTCTGCGGTCTTGGCGCGCCGTGGCCCGCGGTTTTGCCCAGGTGGCCATGCCAACGGCGGCCTGGTACAGCTTCAGTGCGAGCCGTAGACGTGAGCCTTTCCGCATCATGGCAGTGCGACATGACACGTCCCGTTTTTTGTTTTTGTAAAATGAGGGTGGGAGATTTTGGGAGGCTTTGCTTTTTGCGTGCAAATGTGTTCTCGGTGTTTTGACTAGTTAATGTGGTTTTGTATCTGGTATGTGTATTGAATTCTATGAACATTACCTAAATCCTAATACAATGCTTGATTGGGTAGGACATTTCTGTACAATTCTAACTTAATAAGAGTTGGAACTGTTTGTCCTTATTGGATTTAATTTTGATACTAGTCTGGAAAGACAATTCTACTGTTTTTCTCATTGAATTCTATTGAACTTATAGCTGATTTTGAAACGACAGTTCTCACTGAACTGTTTCCAGGCTAAATCCATGTTAAAATCTACCAAATGTCAGCTCAACTTCTATTGGAAAGGAATTCCGAACCGAATTCCAGTTCGAGATGGAACAACTAGACAAGTCGATTCCTCAAAAAAAGCTTTGAAATTCCATCCGGAAAAGACTTCGCATTTCACGTCTAATTTAAAATAAAATTCATGTTACAATACTGTCCTTCTTAGGCTATCTTTAAGATACAGTTCAAGTCGAAGTGTAATTAAAGTCTATTTTGAAGGTATTTCCCATTCGATTCTAGCTCGAATTGGAAATTCTATTTCAATTCTTTGCTTATACAACTCTTTATAGTTTCAAACTGAATCCCAATTAGACACCTATGTGGAAAGGACTTCCCATGTAACTTCTAATTCAAAACATACCAATTCGGATTTAAATTGTAATTTGAAATGCATCTTTTGACTGGATTAGTTTCTGTTAAATTCTATATGAGTTCTAATTGAGTTTAACAGGTCTATTTTGCCACACGTTCTATCTAAAATACGCATCTCACATAATACATGTTTAATTGGACATGGGATAAACCAACTGTTTCCTTAGGACATTAGATTTATGTTCTAATCAAACTTACATTAAAAACATATTTGTTCATCAACTCATCATAATTCTAGATACTTTCCCTTGTTGAATCCTATTTCAACTCAAAACACAATATTTCTCCGTTAAACCACAAGCAGCACAGTTTTGGAAAGGACTTTTAGTTTGGTTGATGTATCATTCTAGGGGACACTCCCCCACTCTTTCCAGGAATCCTTCTTTTCAGAAAGCCATGACAGCTCCAGCAAAAAAAAAGGAATAAAGGAAAGCAACAGCCGGTGTTTGAAAAGAATGGTCGCACAGAATGGAAAAGGACTCAACCCCTCGAATAGGACTCTCACTCGCGAAATCCGGAAGAGATTCGACGCCTTCCCCTGGCCTCAAAGCAGCTTCGGGCGACTCTTTCGAGCCCGAGAAGAACCGGGGATTCGCGGACCTGGGGCCCCGGCAGACCTTCCTTTTTTTTTGGGGTCAGAGCCTCCCAGGATGTGCTTTTTTTGGTAGTTTCTTTTGCTTTTTGTCTTTTTGTTGTTGGTTGCTTTGCAAAAAGTCTGTTAGGCCGAGCTCGAAATCCTGTGAGGCCATGATCAAATGTCTACAAGGGTCCCACAAAGTTCTACAAGAGCTATTCGCATTCTGTGATCAAACACTGAAAAGTACAAATCACAGCAACAAACGGAGGAATCGCAAACCCAGCCCCCATCACGTCCCTCTTGTTTTTTATTAAACAACTAGATGCGTTTTTGCCTGTTGCTGTTGTTAGATGGTGATACCCGGCTCAGAAATTTTACTCTGTGACACTCCAAAGCGACCTGAGACTGGTGGAGCGATGAGTGGAAGAAGGTCTTGACCCTCGGCATCTACGAGTCAAAGCCTGAAAGAACTGTTTGTGCTGCGCGTGCGCTGAGCAATCTGGGTACGCTTGAGTACAGCTGAGCACACTTGAGTACACGTAAGTACACAGAATTTGTACTTGAGTACGTTTTAGTATTCCGGTGCAATGCGCGAGCAGACTGGCAGAAAACTGAGGCCCCCCTCCATCCACTGGGACTACTGCATGACCGTGCAGTCCTCGGCACGAGCTTGAGCCAGTTCCAGGTATCGGGACCCGACCGCCCAAAGGGAACTTGGAACCCTCGGGCACCCTCCTGAAAACTGCCTCAATCTTTCAGGGGGAAAATGCAAGAGACAAGTTGTGAGACAATACAAAGAAGCTGCCGCACTCCACCCGCCAAAATTGAACGCAACGATAGACCCCAAGAGCATGGCGGCTGACCCTTACTTGCTGCCTCGAAATTTCCCTGGCTTCCGGCCCCGAAACAAGTATTGCACATTGGCTGGAGAGAGGATCCAGAAAGGGCTCACACCGAATCCAAGCCTGCTTGAGTTGTCCTTCCCTAGAACGTAACAC